TTCTTCCTATCAATCCAGACATTTGTTTAGATCTGTCCTAGGAAGAAATTGACTATAATAAAGAGAAGAGTCCAGAGAGGAGAGAGAGCAGTCCATTACTTTCTGCACCTACTGTGCACCAGCACTTTGTATAAGTCCATCTCTTTCATCAATAGAATCACCTCATTTATTGAGAACTCTTAAAGGGCAAGAGCAAGGGAAAGCAGGGCTTCTAATGTTTACAACAGGATGTAACTAATCGGTGAAACTCCACGTCAAATATGGTGATAAGACTTTTGGAGCACCATAGGGCAATCCATATTCTATCTTCCCACCACTCCATTGGCATTATTTTTTTAATGAATCCCGTATTTTCAATTTTAAATGAATCTTCCTCATGAGTACATTATATGATGCAGTTAAAGGAAAGGAAAAGAAGAGGCTTAGTGAAGTGTGGGAAAGGAGAGGAAATGTAGTTAATTGTTGAATTAATGAAGATGTGAGGATTTAGTGATTTTTTTTTTTTTTGAATGGAGCCTGGAGGGGAGTCAAGTGGAGCAGGGAAGGGAGACCCAAAGTAATGGTGCAGATCTCTTGAAGGTGACAGTCTGAGTACAGAGTATGAGCAAGTACTGAAGCAAAGTAGGCTGGCTTAGGTCTGACATACTTATTTATTAGTGAGGTTAAGGGGATAGGGACAGACTTATGAATTAATTCATAAGAAGGCACTGGGATATTAAATGAAACCCAAAATAGGAAGGAAATGTAATGACTAGCAGAGTGATTAGATGTGGGAGGTGCTAGAGGTTAGAAAGATGAGCATGGCTACAGCATACATTATGGATTATATAGGGGCCAGTTGAGAATATGTCAGGCCAGTGTGAAATGGGTGGAAGTCGTCGACACAGGAGAGGTTTGTGGAATGGATAAGAACTTAAGCTACATCGTGTTAGATGGGGCAGATGTGAGCTATGTCTTCAATATTGATTTTGAGGTGTGAAAGAGAAGTTTAAAGATGCAAGCAAGTGGATAGAGTCTTTAGAAGCACCATTGTCATGGTGGATGTAGCCAAGGAGAAAATAGGAGGATTTTTTTGCAGAGATTGATTTAAAGAAAGTCAGTTGTCTTCCCACCACTGTGCAGACCCTGTATGCACTTATTTTGTAAGCAAATGTGAAAAGTGAGATAAAAGCATTATTTGCGAATATTTTTTTTTTTATCATTTCAGATAGCATACTGCTTAAATAAGATTACTAAAAGATTATAACATTGTTATTTATGCATGACAAAGTCCCATTTATCTGTCGTTAGCTTGTCAGTGATCACTGTGCTTTAGGTCACCTTTCCACTGTTTACGTGCAGTAATTAAAGGGTAGCTCATAACAACTCTTCAAGAGATGTGTCTAGTACAATGGCGGACTGAGACGGATACTTAGCTAAAAGTCAAACACTTAAACTTGATGAGTGCACAGTGAATAAAAATGCATACTTAAGGAAGACTTGGATGCAGCATTTTGCAGTAAACAAGTTCTGTTTGTGTTGCTACAGTCAGCAAAGTATGAATTGTTAGGAATTCAGAGTGAATTTCGAAAAAACAAAAACAAACCTGAATTAGAAAAATTCTCCTAATTCTTTACTTTTGTGAATATGTGCCAATTCTTGTTTTAAACAATATAATTAAATCAGTAGGAACTTGGAATTCTCTGTAAACATGTTGTGACGCATTAAAGTGTAGATATCTTAATTATTTTAGCAAACCCTCTATAGTTCATTAAAGAAGGTGGTGCATATTTTGCATAACTTTCTTTTTCTAAAAGAGCTGTCACTCTAACCCTGAGAAAAAGATGTGGTGTGTGTCATTCGCGCAGGAGCCATTATAAATCACCTATGACACTCTATCTTGGTCAACTAGAGAACCTCCACCAGTCATACTTTGATGTTTAGCCCACCACTCTTTAACAGTGTATGACTGTTATCGAGATGCCTGAATATTAGGAGCCTTGCTAATGTGTAAATAAGTTCTGCAATTTAGCAAAAACATAGTCTGTACTGAAGCTTCATGGGAAGCCAAGTGACTGTAGCACAGGAAGCAACTCTGGGTGAAATGAGGACACCACGCTCTTTGAGGTTACAGCAAGGGAGACACGCTATGCTCTTTTCTACGGCACAGGTTAGAGAGTGCCCCTGGATAACACAGAATTATTTACAAGGCTCACAAACCCTTTAAGCTATAAGCAATCTTCCTGCACAAGATATTCATTTTTTGTGTATTTAAGTTCAGCAGGCACTAAGACGAAAAAGTAAGGAAGTATACAGCATTTGCTTTTGTCAACAGAATATCTGCCAGAGACTGAATTTTCCATCCAGCTGCGTAACCTCTTGGCAGTTGTATGTGCACACAAGAGATCACTCCATAACTACTTGCATGGCAAAAAAAACAAGCTAACAGAACAAATTTGAAAATGTAAAAAAATAAACAAAACAAGAAAACAACAAACGAAAAAACGACCCTTAAAGATAAAAAAACGATACAATATTTTAAATGGCCATATATTTCTGCGAATACTAAGACGATCATGGAATGTTATAGTTTGAAATCCAAAACTGTTCAGAATGAATGTCAAATTAAAGGGATACAATAGGCATACAGACGACTCCAGCTCATTGACGTGGTATGCGTGAAGTGCCCTGTCCCCTTAACCCTGCAAGTGAAAACGTCATTGCAGGGTTAAGACAACCTCTAGTGGCTAGTCCGCAGGGGGAGGAAAGCATCTATCTTTTTCTCTACTTGTTTAATGCTGATCTGGATCTGACGACTCTCTCAAGGAGCTACCCCACCTCCTGAACCTGGTTTGGGTTGTTCAAACTGCCTATCCCACTACACAACAAGCTCTAGAAACCTACTTACCTCGTATTTTGAACCTCTTGTGGCTGTCTTCCAGACAGTTCCAAGACGTGCTTCCTGGATTTTCATGGAGTTAAACTCCATGAAATGACATTGGATGTCCTCACACTTTGCATAAGGACATCCAGCGTATTTTCAAAATCCCCATAGGAAAGCTTTCTAAGGTGCGTGCCGCCCTCACCATGCATGTGCATTAGGTCCTCAATCAGAGTTAATGTCGCTGGAGAAGGAGAGGAATTAAAGTGAGTGAAGACAGGCTTTTTTTTTGAGTCCCTACCTTATCTTATAATATATTTTGACAGAGTTGGAATTTCAGAGTTTTCTTAATTAATCTTAATAAGCATTTTAGAAAGATTTGTTTTTTTTAAGGGGTGGGTGTGGAAAAGTTGCTCTAAATATGTGACAACACACTGGGTTAAAAAATGTTTTATAGGTTTCACAATTTAGAGGGTTTTTTTCCAAATCTGATTTTCAGTTTATTAAAAATAGCTTAAGGCAGCAGTATATATCACAGTTCCACTATGTTTACCTGGACACACATCTCTTCTTATAAAACATATATTTGCATTGCAGTAGCTTTAAATTGCGGCAAGCGCTAGATCAGTTAACTAACTAAAGTCGCTAATTTGGGATTTCTCCTTGAATAATGAATATTTTTTCTTCTTGAAGTATGTGAATGCTACCTACTGAAAAGCAGCTCTTTTCTTGTACTGCCTTTCAGCATGTTGACGTGATATGTATCTAGTATGACATGGTGGATCTAGCAATGCAAGAGAGTGTAAAAAAATACTAAATATACATACAATACAAGGTGGAGTATCTTTCTTTTTGTGACTAGGATAATTCCTGGATCGTTTTGTCTATAGGAATGAAATATAAGCAGACAAAAAATATATCCAATTTTAACTGATAAAGTGAAGTAGTAGATGGAAAAACACTCACAAGCGAAGAGCCACTGAATTAGGCTCAGATTTCCAGCTTTGTGGGTTATAGAGGTACCCACAGGTATCTTCTTTTTACTGATAGGAGGTCTCAAGCAATTAGATGTCCTCACAATGGTCAATGTAGATGTAATAAGTTAAAAATAGAGGCATCGTTGACAAAATTTGCTGACAGCATAATCCACAAAGTGATTACATGGCCTTCTTGATTGTTTGGTTTTTTTTAAACAAAGAAACATTTCCAAACATTTCCAATATATGACATGAATTGAACTGTTTTAAAAAAGACAAACTGTTTCTAAAACACAGCAAATTATGTATCTTTATAAAAGACGGTATAAAATTTATGGGAAAGAGTCTCAGGCAAGATTTTAATGACGGATAAGGTATTTTTTTTTTTTTTTAATCTGTCTCTTCTGACCTCTGACAAGCATTTATTACACAATGCTCAAAGTATATCAGGCAAATGCCATTGCAAATAGCTTCACAATTTACACCAATAATTGACAGGCTCCCAAGCTATGTCAAGCTAAATGGCGCAAGCTGAGAAAAAACAGCAGGCCCTTGATATAGTTATGTGTTGGGAGCCATAAAGATAAACAAAAACAAGAAAAAAATAGATGGGGCAGAGAGAAACTTAACCAAGCAGAGGAGGAACTTGAGTAACTGAAGTTTAACAATGTTCCCATTAACATTAGAGATCAGCTACAGAATTATGAAAACTGGACGATGCAGTCTACTGATGACTAACCCTAGTCTTCAAGACTGGCTGAACATCACTGGAAATATGGTAACGAACCATCTGGAGAAGACTTGCGCACAAATGTTTTTCAGCTGGCATGAACAAATCAAATGACTTTTAAACGGAGTCTGAACAAATTGATCCGGGCGCAAATGAAAAAGCATTTGATTATTTCATCACCGCTAAAAAGCATTTAAGCACAAGTCTAATCTGGAGTGCCAAAGTTAGCTATTATGTTCTCATTGAATTTATTCCAAATGAGTTTTACTAGGTTTAAAAGAGAGAAATTTGTTATAAATGAAAATATATATGTCAACATATTAATGGAAAATCCCACAATGTAGTTCACTGTTGTAAGAGATAACACATGCATTGCTTCCCTTGGGTTACAGAGGTGCATTTTCTTAAACCAACACAGTTATTGTTTGATGTGGATAAATATTAGCCTTTACTAGTACATACTGTGCTCTCTAGATTGAGGTCTTCATAAACCACACAATATCCTTTTGTCTGTCTAAGCAGTAGAAACTTTCCAATGGATGGAGCGTTGCAGCATGTATTCTTAATTACGCCTGGAATATAAATCTGGCTCTGATTGGTGACTGTGCATTGTGCAATAGCTGTATTACATCACATGTCAACATTCTATTTGAAGTGTGATGTCACAATAAGAACCCAAAGAAATAAGAGAACATCTGGAGGTCTCTAGCAAAGAAGGATCTTCCTAAATATTGCAAGTCTGCAAGCTGACAATGCAGAAAGGGTAACTCCAATTTGTTTATAATATAATCTGATTGTAAGCCAGCATATTTAACCCTATCATATCATATCACTATTTAGAGTTACTGGACAAAAATGTAAAAAATAATGTTTAGTAATGAATATTTGTTTCCATTAAGCTCTAAACTGCCCACAAAGGAACAATCCAAACATATAAAACACTTCAGTTTGCTATAGTGCTACATGTTTAAAGAGTGTGTTCCCTTTTTTAATTTTATGAGAGCTCCAATTTCAATAGAAACTGCTTGTGGCGAACCGCCTGGCACCCTGACTGGGGGCCTCCGCCAATCGCTGCTTCCTAGCAACACTGAGTACTTCCAGGCACTCCACCAGACACCATAACCACCGTAGACCCTTAGCTTCCACAGCTTGGCTGGGGTCTCACTGTCTTCTACCCACCCTGGACCCAAGTGAGGGATCCAGATTCCAGTGGGTAGACCTCTCCTACTCCAGAGAATATAGCAGGATAGCTCTCACAAGATTAGTTGTAATCCAAGGGAATATAGTTATTATAGCAATCCCCAGAGTGAATATAGCTGTCCCCTCCACACATGAGACGAGGCTCTATGTTTAGGTTGAAGAGAAACTGTTTAATGGCAGCCACAACTGGCCTTATATGCAAGTCCCCATGCAAGGGTTTTTCCATGACATATTCCAGGGGAATTCCCCACTGGACCTGAGACAGGACTATGACAAAGTACACACTGTAATTACATTGGCTCTCAGGTCCAGGACACTCCCACACAAACCAGGGTAATCCCTCCCCTGTGCCTGAGAGATAATTGAGTCAGGCACTGTACTAAACTCAATTATCTCCAGGCACAGAAAATACACATTTTACAATAACCCAAAAGTACCCCCAAAACACATGAAACCCCACAAAAGTCATACTCCCGATAGCCCCGATCTGTGAGACCAACATATCCAAAAATCATCCAGATCGTTTCAGTGGTTCAGGATTTCCATGGAAGTCACAGTTTGACCGACCGCACACCAGGCTCCTGCCCAAAAGAGTTCCATGAAATCAGGCTGTGCAGTCGGTCTCTTTCGAGAGTACCAAATACAGTAAAACCAACGAATAAACTGTTTGTGTGTACGCTTGTCTTCTGCCCCGCGTTCAGGAGTTTGCTCCCACCGAACGCTGTCCATTCTACTCTATTTTCCCAAACGTAACTGGAGGTGGAAGTCCCAGCGGCGTCGAGTGTCCGATTATAGTTCCATACACTCGACGACCAAACACCGCTGTACGCGTTTGCGGCTAAAGATGGCCGCCACCACGTGTTCGCACATACGAACGACAGCCACCCAGCTAACCACTTAGAACGTTGCGGTTAACGAGGTCAAGAGGGTCAATTGGCAACACACACGACATCTAGCTTCTGCAGTTGAAATTGGATTAAGGTTGCCCAGGGCCCAAGGCAGGGTGCAAAATTCGGGCCCCTTCTGTTTCTGTGAGTGGATGTGTGTTGACTGAGTGTGGTGCAGTATGTGAGCTTTGTGGGGGAGGCTAAGTGTGTCTGTGTTTGCTGGTTGAGTGTGTGGTGGCTGAAATGTGTGTATTCCCCTTACCTTCCCTGGTGATCCAGTGGAGGTTGAGCTGGATACCTGGTGCAGGGGATAGTGAGCTGTATCCCTGGTGATCCGGTGGGGGAGCCTCACCATTTGCACCAATATCGGGTACAGACCACTTTGTTAGCGACCCCGCAGTGTCAGCACTCAGTCAATGACTTGTAAGCCGGCTGCAGTGTTCTGAATGTCACGTATTCATCCACATATATAAAATGTGATTAATGACATTTACTGTTCTGACAGGAAAAGTTGTGCCGAGCAACATTACTGTCCTGACAGGAAAAGTTGTGCCGAGCAGCAATCAAATCCACCGGAGGGTTTGTGCTGAGCAGCAATTATGCAAATGGGAACCTGGTAACTGCCTTTGGGGTCAAAGGGCGATTACAGCCTATCAGATCCAGAGGAGGGGTATTTAGGGCCAGTTCTCATCCTGCTCAGTGCCCTGTCGTGGTTTCCCTTGTGGTAATAATGGAAGAATATATCAATGACTCACTAAACAAGGACCATATACAGAAATCATCCTCACCTGTTGGTGCAGGCGTCTTTTTTGTAGAAAAGAAAGATGGAGAATTACGTCCATGCATTGACTACAGAGCATTAAATAAGATTACTGTTAAGAATGCCTATCCTATTCCTCTCATTTCCGAATTGTTTAATAGACTCCAGGGTGCTAAGATCTTTACCAAACTGGATCTCAGGAGTGCATTCAATTTGGTAAGAATCAAGCGAAATCATGAGTGGAAAACGTCATTTAACACTAGATGCGGGCACTATGAGTATCTTGTTATGCCTTTTGGGCTATGCAATGCACCAGCCGTATTCCAGGATTTTATTAATTATGTACTCAGGGATTATATCTATTCTTTTGTCCTGGTTTATATGGATGATATCCTTATTTATTCCCCTGACCTTCAAACCCACCACAAACAGGTCAAACAAGTATTGTAGACTTTACTGGAAAAAAAAGTTAATTGTAAATTGGAAAAATGTTTGTTTGATCAGACTGAAGTACAGTTTTTAGGGTATAACATTTCTAGACACTAGAGGCTGTTATACAGTGGTAAGTACCTAGCGGACTAAAAGCCATCCAAAGATTTATTGGGTTTGCGAACTATTACAGAAGATTTATCAAGGGGTTTTCTTCTGTAATAGCCCCCATCACCAATACGACACGTAAGGGGGCTAGTAGTACGGTATGGTCTAAGGAAGCTAGAGAGGCTTTTGAACTTCTTAAACAAAGGTTTGCTTCTGCCGACATACTGAGACACCCTGACACCAGAAAACCCTTCATATTGGAAGTCGATGCCTTCGAAACTGGGGTAGGGGCGGTTCTTTCTCAAAGGGAGAGTCAGGACACCCCTTTGCATCCTTGTGGTTACTTTTCCAGAAATAGTCTCCCGCTGAGCGCAATTATGATATTGGCAACAGAGAATTGTTGGCCATTGTCCTAGCGCTTAAAGAGTGGTGACATCTTTTGGACGGTTCCAAGGATCCCCTTTTGATCATTACGGACCATAAGAATTTGGCTTATATAGGGGATGCTAAACATCTATCTTCTAGACAGGCTAGATGGTCTTTGTTTCTGTCTCGCTTTAACTTCCTTATAACTTACAGACCTGGTCCTAAAAATGTGAAGGCTGATGCCTATTCTAGACAGTTTGATTCTGTCTTGCCTCCTGAATGTAACATCGCTTCTACTGTTCTTTCACTGTCTTCTCCCTTGCTTGATGCTATAATTAGACATGTGCAATTCGTTTCAATCCGAATGTGAATTCGGACGAATTTCGGGCAATTCGGACGAATTTCGGGCAATTCGGACATTCGGGTACTTCCCCCCCCCCCTATTAGTATTTAGGGCCCCCACCCACCGCTCAGGGGTGGGGGAGGACATTAGGTCCCCCCTTATTCTAATTAAGGGCCCCCACATACCGCTCAGACGGGGGGGACTTTTTTTTTTTTTAAAGTGAGCAGCCATAGGCTGCTCAATGTTTAATAGACATGCCCCTTCTCGCTGTATAGCGAGTAGGGGCAAAATGTACTAATACTAAGTAATTTTTACTTAGTATTAGTAAATTTGGCTGAAAGACCAATTTAGGTCATTCAGCCTTTTGGTAGATAACTCCCTAATACCGTGGGAATTAGGGAGTTATCTACTAAGCGGCTGCAAGAGAAGTGCTGAAGTCCAGAAATTCCGAAGTGCCGAAGTCCCTAATTTCGGAATGCTGAACCGAACCAAAAATTTTCCCCATGCACATGGCTAGCTATAATGGAGGCTCAGTCTCAGGCACCATGCAATAAACCACTTGACAAATTGTTCCATTAGGTGAAAGAAAGAATGTGCTGAGGGTGTTCCACGACAATGTGACTGCTGGACACCCAGATATCAATAAATCCATATCTGCGATCACAAGATCATTTTGGTGGGATTCCCTTAAAAACGATGTGAAGGACTATGTGCAGGCTTGTTCAGTGTCTAAGGTCTCTAATAATCTTCCTTGTGGTTTGTTGCAACCACTTCCTGTACCTAGTGTTCCATGGTCCCACTTGTCAATGGACTTCATCGTTGAACTTCCAAGTTCCAATGGCTATACCACCATTCTTATGGTGGTTGACCGTTTCTCCAAGATGGCTCATTTTATTCCACTGCCGACTGCATGGCATTCCTCACAATATTGGGTCTCATAGGGACTCTCAGTTTGTCTCGGTTTTGGAGGGCGTTCAGTAAACAGTTGGGCATTGAATTGTCTTTTTCTTCCGCTTACCATCCCCAAACTAATGTCACGGCTGAGAGGGCCATTCTTTGTTAATAACGGTCGTCATCCTACTGTACTGCTGGTTGTTTTCTCTGAGACAACTATACCTGCTTTGGATGATCGCCTTTCTTCTATCCATGATAGTTGGACCAAAGTTTATTCCGCTCTCAAAACTGCGGCTGATCGCTTCAAGTTCTATGCGGATAAACGGCGGGGTGCCAACCCCGTTTACCAAGTGGGTGACAGGGTATGGTTATCATTGCGCAACATCAAATTGAAAGTTCCTAGTATGAAGTTGGCACCCAGATTCCTGGGCCCCTTTCGTTTCCTTCAGAGGATTAACCCTGTGTCATATTCTCTGGCTCTCCCGGCCTCATTACGTATTCCAAATACCTTTCATGTGTCGCTACTCAAACCTCTTGTTTGCAATAAATATATTGTCTCAAATGTCCCTCCTCCTCCCTTAGTTGTATGAGGTCTCTTCTATAATTGATTCCAGGTTTTCTCGGGGCACTTTATAGTACTTGGTGGATTGGAAAGGTTATGGACCAGCCGATCGTTCTTGCGTTCCAGCATCTGATATACATGCTGGCCGCAAGATTCGCTATTTTCACGCCAAGTTCCCTCTTAAGCCTGGTCCTGCCCGCCCGGTGGGCGTTCTTCAGGTGGGGGGTAATGTCACTTATAAAAAATGTGATTAATGACATTTACTGTTCTGACAGGAAAAGTTGTGCCGAGCAACATTACTGTCCTGACAGGAAAAGTTGTGCCAAGCAGCAATCAAATCCACAGGAGGGTTTGTGCTGAGCTGCAATTATGCAAATGGAAACCTGGTAACTGCCTTTTGGGACAAAGGGCGATTACAGCCTATCAGATCCAGAGGAAGGGTATTTAGGCCCTCTTCTCATCCTGCTCTGTGCCCTGTCATGGTTGTCCGAGAGCGAGTTCCTGATTCAAGTTTCTTCTGGTTTTTGACTTTGATTTTGACTTCCCTGTATTCTGGTATCCCTCACTTCTGGCTTTCCCTTATTGTTGTTTCTTTCTGTATCCCCTGACCTCGGCAAGTATCCTGACTATTCTTTGGTACGATAAGTCCAGCCATTCTAAGGCCTGGTAATATGTTACCTATTAGTCATCTGTGTGACACAATTCTATGTGCTGGATCAACTAGTAATCCTGACATTGAACCTTTGAGAAGCACTGGGGCTAAGTGAAGGCAGTCTTAAAGTGGTCTGGACTTGATATTGTTACAGATCACAATGCTCCCCACAAGGACCGCATTTATGCCTAGGCCATAGAGAGCTGTTTTGGTATCTTAATGGGTAATCCAGCTCTATGTATCATTCAATCTCCATTCACTTTGGCTTGGCACCTGGCAGGACGCAGGTAAGGGGCTTTGGTTATGATAATTGGAGTAACACTTTGAAAAGTGATCCATTTCAAACAAACATGTCTTTTAAAAGAATATAATTTGAAAAACATATGTGAGGAAGGCTGAACTTGATGGACGCAAGTCTCTTTTCAGCTATTTAACTATGAATTATCTTTAATAAATGCCCTTAACAATAATAGCTAATTTTCAATCCCAAATCTTTAAAAAACAAATTCCCCATGCCATGGGGGTATATAATTCTAAAATCACATCTTCCCAGAGTTTGTCAAGAAGAGCTCCAAACTATACATATTAGATTGTGTGGCCTAATGCATGAGCCATTGTAACCATTACCGTGCATTGTCCTGGCCTGTACCCATGAGGTGTAAACTCCCTATTTAACGGAGTGATTCTTAGAATTAACGTTAGAGTTGAAGCTTTGGCTAGGTGTCCCAGTCAGGCAAAGACTGTTTTACATTCCCATGCGGTTATGATATTTGCAGCTGCTGTCATAATTCAGCCAGTCTTCTATTACAGGAGCTAAAGAAAAAGAATTGCTCTGTCTGTTTCCACATCTCCTCTCCCTGGAATATCAGCAAACTTCCACAGCAATATAGCACTGTGCTCACACACACCCATATATATACAAATATATCATGGCATGATCTGTCTGTTATTTCAATGGCAGATCATGTTTGCACATCCAATATTGCTTGGCAGGTGACATCACCTATCACCTGTGGTAAGTCTTCAGGTATTTTGCAGGTTATCTGGGTTCTGTGGTAAGAATCCTTATCTCGGTACTGGCAGTATGAACCCTACTCTGGGTGCTGGTGTGTAGTTAGTGAGAGTCCTTATCTGGCTTCTGTGGCAAAAGCCCCTTTCTGGGTTAAGAACCCTTATTTCCATTTAGGTGGTAAGGGCCCTTATCTGGGTAGATGGTAAAAGCTAATAAGAAGCAGAGAAGCGGATGGGGGCTGTGGTAAAAGCCATTATCTTGGCACCGGCATGCAATTTGGGCAGGTGGCAAGAGTCCTTATGTGGTTTTTATGGTAAGAGTTCAAAAGTAAAGTGTCCTTATCTGTGTGCAGTTAGTAAGAGGCTTTATCTGATTTTTAATGTAAATCATTATCTGAGTTCAGGTGGTAAGAGTCCTTATCTGGGTTCTATGGTAAGAGTCATTATCTGTGTGCAGATAGTAAGTGTCCTTATCTGTATGCATTTAGTAAGAGTCATTATCTGGTTTTTAACGTAAGAGTCATTAGAGCACATGGTAAGAGTCCTTATAAGGGTTCTACGGTAACAGTCCTTACCTGTGTGCAGGTGGTAAGAGTTCATATATGGGTTCTATGGTAAGCATCCTTATTTTGGTTATATGGCAAGAGTCCTTATCTATGTCTTATGGTAAGAGTCCATATCTGGGTTCTATTGTATGAGCCCTTATCAGGGTATTGGCAGCTATAGCCCTTTGGGAAGTTTTATCCAGGTAAAACAGGTGCTATACTGGGGCAGATTGCTATACAAGGAGCAATCACCATGGAAACAAACAGACCGTCTCTCAATTCGTAGGACTTTGCACCCAGAATTACAACTGTTTGTCTTGATAAATGTGGCTCTTTTTGTGGGGGTGCAGGTGGTAGGCGATATTACCTGGGTGCGGGTAATGATAGCCATTATCTAGTACCACAAGTGATAGCCATTATCTGAGTGCAGATAGTGATAGCCATGATCTAATACAATCAGTGATAGCCATTATCTTGGTGCAGAAAGTGATAGCCATTATCTAATACAATCAGTGATAGCCATTATCTAGTACAATCAGTGACAGCCACTGGCGTAAACATAGGGGTTGCATCTGTGACCGGCCCGTCACTCCAGGGGGCATGACTGCCCTGCGGACCCCTGCGACCAGGTACCAGCCGCCATGTTTTGCGGTCCGGCTCTCGCAGCAAACCACTGGGGCAGCCGTTCAAGGGGTCCATTGGGTGGCCCATGCTGTTAGGGCCACTTGATGGAGATGGATTTTCAGGGAGCCGGTCAGCGCTGGGTGCTTTAACAGCGCGACCAGGCCCCCTGTGATGACATCACTGCTGGGAGGAAGTGACTGCCCTGGTCACTCCTGCCAGCATACACAGAGCCCGCGTGTGACGAAGGAGAGGAGTGAGTCAGAGTGGGAACTCTGACTCCCACCAGCCTGAGCCACCACTGGACCCCAGTAAATGTCACCCTCCTGCACCTTAAAAGTAGGAAACAGGAGGGTGACTAAAATATTTTGTATATGTGTGTGTTTGTATGTGTCTATGCGTATGTCTGTATGTGTATATGGGTGTGTATCTGTCTGTATGTGTGCCTGTCTATTTGTATGTACGTATGTGTGTCTGTCTGTGTCTTTGTATGTATGTGTGTCTTGTGTGTGTGTGTTTATATCTGTCTGTGTCTATGTCTCTATGTATGTATGTCTGTCGGAGAGAGGGTGAGGGGAGCGAAGGCCCCATGGATCAATTTCGCACCAGGGCCCCATGGATTGTGTGTAAGCCACTGGTGATATCCATATCTGAGTGCAGGCAGTGATATTCATTATCTGAGTGCAGGCAGTGATAGCCATTATCTGAGTGCAGGCAGTGATAGCCATTATCTGAGTGCAGGCAGTGATAGCCATTATCTGAGTGCAGGTAGTGATAGCCATTATCTGAGTGCAGGCAGTGATAGCCATTATCTGAGTGCAGGCAGTGATAGCCATTATCTGAGTGCAGGTAGTGATAGCCATTATCTGAGTGCAGGCAGTGATAGCCATTATCTGAGTGCAGGCAGTGATAGCCATTATCTGAGTGCAGGTAGTGATAGCCATTATCTAATACAATCAGTGATAGCCATTATCTGAGTGCAGGCAGTGATAGCCATTATCTGAGTGCAGGCAGTGATAGCCATTATCTGAGTGCAGGTAGTGATAGCCATTATCTGAGTGCAGGCAGTGATAGCCATTATCTGAGTGCAGGTAGTGATAGCCATTATCTGAGTGCAGGTAGTGATAGCCATTATCTGAGTGCAGGTAGTGATAGCCATTATCTGAGTGCAGGCAGTGATAGCCATTATCTGAGTGCAGGTAGTGATAGCCATTATCTAATACAATCAGCGATAGCCATTATCTGAGTGCAGGTAGTGATATCCATTATCTGAGTGCAGGCAGTGATAGCCATTATCTGAGTGCAGGCAGTGATAGCCATTATCTGAGTGCAGGTAGTGATAGTGATAGCCATTATCTGAGTGCAGGTAGTGATATCCATATCTAGTGCAATCAGTGATAGCCATTATCTGAGTGCAGGCAGTGATAGCCATTATCTGAGTGCAGGCAGTGATAGCCATTATCTGAGTGCAGGCAGTGATAGCCATTATCTGAGTGCAGGTAGTGATAGCCATATCTGAGTGCAGGTAGTGATAGCCATTATCTGAGTGCAGGCAGTGATAGCCATTATCTGAGTGCAGGCAGTGATAGCCATTATCTGAGTGCAGGTAGTGATATCCATTATCTAATACAATCAGTGATAGCCATTATCTGAGTGCAGGTAGTGATAGCCATTATCTAATACAATCAGTGATAGCCATTATCTGAGTGCAGGCAGTGATAGCCATTATCTGAGTGCAGGCAGTGATAGCCATTATCTGAGTGCAGGTAGTGATAGCCATTATCTGAGTGCAGGTAGTGATAGCCATTATCTGAGTGCAGGCAGTGATAGCCATTATCTGAGTGCAGGCAGTGATAGCCATTATCTGAGTGCAGGCAGTGATAGCCATTATCTAATACAATCAGTGATAGCCATTATCTGAGTGCAGGTAGTGATATCCATTATCTAATACAATCAGTGATAGCCATTATCTGAGTGCAGGCAGTGATAGCCATTATCTGAGTGCAGGCAGTGATAGCCATTATCTGAGTGCAGGCAGTGATAGCCATTATCTGAGTGCAGGCAGTGATAGCCATTATCTGAGTGCAGGTAGTGATAGCCATATCTGAGTGCAGGTAGTGATAGCCATTATCTGAGTGCAGGCAGTGATAGCCATTATCTGAGTGCAGGCAGTGATAGCCATTATCTGAGTGCAGGTAGTGATAGCCATTATCTGAGTGCAGGCAGTGATAGCCATTATCTGAGTGCAGGCAGTGATAGCCATTATCTGAGTGCAGGTAGTGATAGCCATTATCTAATACAATAGTGATAGCCATTATCTGAGTGCAGGCAGTGATAGCCATTATCTGAGTGCAGGTAGTGATAGCCATTATCTAATACAATCAGCGATAGCCATTATCTGAGTGCAGGTAGTGATATCCATATCTGAGTGCAGGCAGTGATAGCCATTATCTGAGTGCAGGCAGTGATAGCCATTATCTGAGTGCAGGCAGTGATAGCCATTATCTGAGTGCAGGCAGTGATAGCCATTATCTGAGTGCAGGCAGTGATAGCCATTATCTGAGTGCAGGTAGTGATAGCCATTATCTGAGTGCAGGTAGTGATAGCCATTATCTGAGTGCAGGCAGTGATAGCCATTATCTGAGTGCAGGCAGTGATAGCCATTATCTGAGTGCAGGCAGTGATAGCCATTATCTGAGTGCAGGCAGTGATAGCCATTATCTGAGTGCAGGTAGTGATAGCCATTATCTGAGTGCAGGCAGTGATAGCCATTATCTGAGTGCAGGCAGTGATAGCCATTATCTGAGTGCAGGCAGTGATAGCCATTATCTGAGTGCAGGCAGTGATAGCCATTATCTAATACAATCAGTGATAGCCATTATCTGAGTGCAGGTAGTGATAGCCATTATCCTAATTTAAACATACACCCCGGCCCCGGTATAGCTCAGTTTGCTTCTCGCCCCGGCCCCCGCTCTGCCGGTGGTGTGACACAATCTGCCCCGGTTACCACCCGTCCCTTAGCAACACAGCCGGCGCACTGGCCAATCAGAAACGGGCTCGAGTCTTCGACCAATCGGAAGACGTCTTCAGAGTGAGGCCAGTGGCAGGCATCCGCCATTTTGACTCCACGGAGACAATAGAGAGGAAGCTGCGGAGAAGCCGGAAGGAGCTCCCATAGCTCAGGTAGAGGAAAGGCGATAAATTGGGCGATTTACTGTCTTTATATGGCTGCCTCGTGTAACAGTGACATTATTACTATTATTATTATAATACGGGGGGGGGAAACCGTGAGAAATACTGCCCTTTCAGCCAAGGCTCCCAATAGGGAAACACCTACCTATCAGCCTACCTTATCAGGAGCACACAAGCTGCTCTGACAGTGACCTCATAGACAGCCACACAACCTGCCTGGAATCCCATTACTGCTAGTTAGCTGATAGCACCCATCATGCCATCATATTATCATATTATCATGTGGGCAGCTGCTGTCAGTGTAATGTGTGTCAGTGGGGCCCTAGATTGGGGGCAGGGCTACATTTTAACAAGGGTCCCATGTAAGAAATGTTAAATTTTATTATTTATTATTGTGGGGTATGGATCATTGTATACCTTTTAGGGAGAGGGAATTATTTGCCTCCTGTTAGTCATTTATTTTTTTTTCTAACTATTTTAACAGGGAAGAAAAACTTGGAAAACTATATTTTCTTTACTTAAAAAAAAAAAAGGAAAATGGATTGTAGCCACAATGTATTCAATTCATTTTTCTGTTTTGAGGAAATGTGTTAAACTGCAGTAATATAGCAAGGCTGTTCACTAAATTCTTCAATTTCACAAAGTTAATCCTTGTGGGAGAAAAAAAACAGGCAAAAAATAGCTGATTTTAGGCATAGTTACAACTTGGCTATTTTTTTAAAAAATTTTTGGCTTCGTTTGGCCATGCAATTTTAACCGCCCGTGTATATGTATTTCTGTGTGAATAAATCATCATTCATATGTCATCTGTTAAGTTTTGCAATGTTATGTTATTGTATGTAATGGTTATATAATCAATGAAGGCTGTTATACAAGGGGGTTATGCTTTTCTTGATGCCTGTGCAGTTCTGGTTACATAATATTTATTTGGTGACTATATTTGGAAATTGGTTTAGATAGCCACTTGGCTCCATCTTACCTTTAGTGTCAGATCTGTGATGTATGATAGAGCAAAAGTCCACAGCCCTAGGTGATAACTGCCTGTACTATCCATGTAGCCAGCCATGTGTATCCCAGTCTGTGCCAAGCCCTAATTAAATTATATTTAAGAATTACCTGTTCTAACCTTCTCTTTTGCCTGGAATCATTACCCCCTAAATAATTTCTGGAGTGACAGACAAGCTTGGCTTAATTTTATGATGAATATCTCATTGCTAATGTACCATTTTTTTGTCATGTAACACTGACAGTTTGACACAGGTGATCTGTCCTGCACAGCTAACATTCCAACATAGGTGAAGCAGGGTAAGCTAGGAAGAGAATAGCTCGATAAGAGTCTACTCCAAATAAAGGAAAAATACCTCTATCCTGGATAAAGGAAAAATGGTCTCTATTTAAATTTCACATCACATCTGGGACATGTAAGGGGGAGCATAAGATCAACGCTAACACGTTTTGTGTCATTATTGGCCCTTCATCACATAAAGTCCCCACTGTGATGTGAAATTTGAATGAGGGCCATTTTTCTTTATCCATGGGGGTTGAGATGTCATTTATTTATTTTTTCTTATGAAATATCTAGGAAGGAACATAAAGACCTAGGGTTTGAACAAAGGTGTTTTTCATTTTGTGACAGATTTGTATACTTTTCTGGGTAGATTGATCTGTCGTCATTCCTTGCTAATGCTATCTCTAAATAAATCTTGGAAAAGCAGGCAAGCATTGTTCAATTTAACAAGTCAGATCCATTTTCTAGGGTCCAATGGCTTGACAAAAATAAAACATGCCTTTAAGTGTAGGTGCGTTGTGGAAGTTTTAACTTTGTGTCAAGAAACATCCTTGCAGTGCAAGTACTGCTTCGCTGGTGACCTCCATCACACTGCTAGATTATAACAATGAATCTGATTCTGTAAAGGAAGAGCTTAATAAATGAGACAAAAAAATTGTCTGTGTTTAACATCTATCCCATTTAATCCTGCCTCCTGTTTAGGTTATTTTTTTTTTTTTTTCTATTAGTGTTTAATTTCTTTCATAAAAAGCTATTGTTATTGATTTGTAAATATATAGCAGGTAGTGAAACGCAATTAACAATAACCACCAAATAATTTGTATTTTTTGTTTTTGGTCATTTAAAAAATTATGTATTTTTAATTTACAGCATATGCACCATGTATGGGGGAAAACATGTTATATGCCATGTACTGTGGACCATGTTGAAACTGCATAAATAATTATTTAATTTTAGGTCTGCAAATCATGTCCTTTAGTGCTCAGGGTATCTATCACATGCTGAAAATATGTGGGAGAGCTGCAGCTTCCTGAACATAATCTGTGCAGTCTATAAGAAGATTGAAATACTCACTCCCCCAATTGTTTTTTTGTTTTTAAATATAACCAAATTGCTTAAGTTTTGTATTCTGGGGAATGATATTTTAAGCACTGTAGCGCAAATGTAAATGAGGACTGTTTGCCCATGGCAATAATGACAATAATCCAAAGTTTAATAACAAGCAGAAAAACTAAATATACTCTTAATGAAAAACTCTGCATACACCACCGTAATGCATATAATAAAAGGCATGAAGAGAGAGAGGTTTATGGTTTTTGTGTATATATTTTTTTTTTTTTTCCCTCTGCTTTTCAATTATCTGCCTACCATTGAAGCAACACATGGTATTCAAATGATCAGAGTTGAATTCAGCCTACAGAAATGCTCCCACGCAGAGTAACTAGTAAGGATCTGGAATATTACTGCCAGAGTGCACACATTGGACTTCTTGACCCTCTATTAAATATTTGAAATAATACAGGTACCAGCCCTTCTTAGATCACACACCATGTTCAGTTTTTCCTTGCTAATGGATAATAGGGCAAAACTATCTGTCCTTTGAGACTGTCTGCTGGATGACCCTACAGACAGTGTGCTGGGTGATATGTCCTGTATATCAGCATGAGCTTTTCCTTTTGGGCAAATTGATTTCTAGAGTGGTGCTTCACTTACCTCAAACTGGCTTTATTTGGGAAGAGCAACAGAGGACACAGCCAGCCTTCTGCTATTACACTAAGCCAGCCATTCCCAATTTGTGTTCAGAGGGACCCTAGGGTTCCGCTAAAATTTCTAAAAACAAAATGGCCACAGGCAGCGAGGGAGCAATGATCTCTCATCTCCCTCGCTCGCACAGCAGTGATGCCGGAGCTAGAATATGACGTTGCTCAGGCATCACTAAGAGGCGCGTGAGGGATCTGAGTAGGAAGATCACTGCTCCCTCGCCGCTCAGCCCAGCAGCCCCCCTGGGCCACAGGGACACAGACTCTATGCCAGTACTCCGAAAGGTAGGGAGGCTGAGTGGAGTAGTAAAAAAAAAAAATTGTATGTGTTTTTTTTTTAGGTAGTTTGTGTGTCTGTCAAAGAGTATATGTGCTTGTCAGTGAGTGTATGTGTGCTTGCGCCAGTGTGTGTGTGTGTGTATGTATATATGTATATATGTGTGTATATATATATATATATATATATATATATATATGTGTGTGTGGGGATACACACACACACTTTAACACATAGATACACTGTGTGTATCTGTGCCAGTGTGTGCGTGTATTTGTGTTGTCAGATTCATGCACACTGGCACATACAAACACCTTGAGAGAGAGAGAGAGAGAGAGAGAGAGAGAGAGAGAGAGATATATATATACACACCCCCACCCACCTAAAAAAACAAACAATTTTTTGGTACACTATGTCAAAGGGTTCTACGGGAAAAATTAACTGGGAACTCTAATTACTACAGGCCAAATGCAAGGTACATAACCTTTTTATATAACCTCTAAAACAGGGATAGCCAAAAGAGATCTTAATTTCTTGTGGAATTAATAAAATATATTTGTACAAGGATGTTGTTTTCAGTCTGATGGAAAAATTAAGAGTGAGGGCTCAAAATTAAAGGACCACTATAGTGCCAGGAAAACAAACTTGTTTTCCTGGCACTATAGGGTCACTAGGTTCCCCCCCTCAAGCTGGGCTGAAGGGGTTAAAACCCCTTCAGCCACTTACCTTTCTACAGTGCTGGGCTCTCTCGGCGCTGGGGAACTCTCCTCCCTCTGCCGACGTCAGCTCTGCATGCGCGGCAAGAGCCATGCACACATTCAAACAGTCCATAGGAAAGCATTTTTCAATACTTTCCTATGGATATCCAGTGTCATCTCACTGTGATTTTCACTGAGACAGCCACTAGAGGCTGGATTAACCCCAGTGTAAACATAGCAGTTTCTCTGAAACTATGTTTACAGCTGCAGGGTTAACACTAGATGGACCTGGCACCCAGACCACTTCATTGAGCTGAAGGGTCTAGGTGCCTATAGGGTCCTTTAATATAGTGGTTGTGATGTGTATAGCATGTCTCTGCAGGCTTTTCAATGTACAACCTGTCATTTCAGAGACAAGGCAGTGTTTACATTGCTGTCTAATAACTCCTCTAGTTGCACTCATTTAGACAAAATTAAATGGATCTGTATGAGAAGATGCTGATTGGGACAGCTTTTTTCCCACACATGCACAACGGGAAAGCATTGGATTGGCTGAGATTATTAAAATTGATAGTCTGGGCCCGCCGTGGCGAGAATGACGCGGCGATGAAGAAAAGGTAAATAAACTACCTTATAATCTACACGGAGAAGGAGACGGTCACATACATATTTAATCCAGCACTATAGTATTAGGAATACCAACATGTATTCCTAACACTATAGTGTTCCTTTAAGGCCAGAGTAGCTGAGCCTAAAGTATAGCTGGCTAAGTGAATGTTTCCAGTTCGCTCTTTTACCTTAAATTTGAAATTCACCTTGAAATTTCACTGATTACCCTTGATAGTTACCTTGGTAAATACCTCTGATAAGCTAGTTGTCTATAAATGTTCTCATGATAAGTAAATCTAAGAAACTAATTGGTATTGCTGAGTTATGTTCCTTTGTTGATTAGTCTGCTTGTACCTTGTGGGAATTTATTTTTCAATATCTGGAATGTCAAGGTTAATGTTCACTGTGTTAGGAGCTCCAAAAACGTTCTTTGAACAGGGATATTGAAAGTAAAATGCAGTGATGTAGAAGTGGAATCTATATTTGGAGAGAAGTCACAGCTTGGGGGTTTGTGTCATTAGTTCTCACAGCCTATGTCAGCTGTAGACACTGTCTTGATTTCACTTCTGATACTGTCGACTGACTAGTAAATGTCCATTCCAAACTTAAGCATTACGGAGAATATCCTGTACGTTGTCATAATTCATATATGATCCATGTGGCTCAGGTTTATCCACTACACTCGGCATTGTAGAAAATTTAAATTTGAATGGAAAATTCAAGCCAAGATAGCAAGTCGTGACTATAAATGAGTTGGTGAATTTCTCTAGATTAGCCATGTTTGCAAAGATGTTTTCTTTGGGATTTCAATTTAATAAATTTCAGAGTTTAAAGGGGCACTATAGTCACCAGAACAACTACAGCTTAATGTAGTTGTTCTGGTGAGTATAATCATTACCTTCAGGTATTTTCATGCAAACACTGCCTTTTCAGAGAAAAGGCAGTGTTTACATTGCTCCTAGGGAAACCTCCAAGTGGCCACTACTCAGATGGCCACTGGAGGTGCTTCCTGGCTCAGTGCTGCACAGTAGGCGGCACTGCTGTTCAGTGTCCCCATGTGGGGACGCTGAATTTTCCTTATAGAGATGCATTGAATCAATGCATCTCTATGAGGAGGTGCTAATTGGCCAGTGTTCCTTTAAATATCTCTGATAGAATGCAACCAAAGAGACTTCTGGATAATATAATATTGTTCTGCGCTTTTCACAAAAATAGTCTCCTGTGCATTCTAAATATATATCTATATTAAAGGAGTACTATAGTGTCAGGAACACAAACATGTATTCCTGACACTATAGTTCTAAAACCACGCAGGGCTCCTCGCTTCTGGCCCTGCCACCGATCCACCTCTTTAGCTGACAGAATTATAATTTAGCCAATCACAATGCTTTCCCATAGGAATTCTGATTCTCAGCCAAGGAGGTGGGGGCGGAGCCATCTCCTCATCAATGTATCCCTGTGGGAAATGTTTAGCGTCTCCATGGAGAGCATAAAGTCGCTGAACACCAGTGCTGCACAGATTCAGAAAGCATCTCTAGTTCTCTGAAAAGGCAGTGTTCACATTACAAAGCCTGTAGTGTTAATATTCCAGCAAAAGCATTTTTACCAAGTGCTGTGTAAATCTCTCCCTCTAGCCTTTTAAATTGCTTGTCCTCTTTGAATCTCTTGTGTGACTTCCCATGACACATCACATATGTTACCAGAATTTTTCCTACTTGTAGTTGTCTCCTCTTAGCATATGGCTGGGATGTAAGGGGGGATGCTATCTCTAGACCCAGCTGTGTCACACAATCCACCATGTCAAATCATTGTCTCTAGCACTTTACAAATGTCTACATCCATAACTGTCTATACTGTCCCCACTCAATTACTGACATAGATTACAATCCTTCATGCTTTCACTTCATTTCAAATATCATTAAAGAGACACTATAGGCACCCAGACTACTCACCTAATTGAAGTGGTCTGGGTATAGTGTCCCTATTCGCTTAGTGCTGTATTGTTACACATTGCAGTTCCAGAGAAACTACAGTGTTTACATTGCAGCACTGAGTCTGCTTCCTGCATCCAAACGGACCTTTGATCCGGTATCTGAAGTTTGACATCCTCACGCTCTGCATGATTTTTTCCCCATAGGAAAGCCTTGATTCAATGCTTTTCTATGGGGAGTGTAATGTGCGCACAGCATTTGCTGCAAATGCGCATTAGTGCCCACTCGTCACAGGGCGGTGTAGGAGGCGGAGCCGCGACCCAGTACTGAGGGATATCAGCGCTGGGGTAAGGTAAGTAAATACAGGGTTTTAAACCTTATATTCACCTGCGGGGCTTGTATTTATGGCACTTAAAGTATCCCTTTAACATTGATAATCTTTGTTTGGTTTTAAAGGATCATTATAGGGTCAGCGACACAAACCTATATTCCTGACCCTATAGTGCTAAGCCCAACATTTAGGTGGCTTAGCCCCTCTATAAAAGTTTAAAACTCACCTTATTGGTGCTGGCTCTGCCCCCTTTGTGACATCATCAAAATGGCAGATTTTTAGCCAATCCAATGCTTTCCTATAAGTGCATCTCTATGAGGAAAGTTCAGCGTCTCCATGCAGAGCGTGGGGACGCTGAACGGCAAGGCTTCTTATCTAAGGAGTGGCCACTGGAGGTGTCCCTAGGAGCAATGTAAACACTGCCTTTTTTCTGAAATGGCAGTGTTTACATGAAAATGCCTGAAGGGAGGTATTATACTCACCAGAACAACTACATTAAGCTGCAGTTGTTCTGGTGACTATAGTGTCCCTTTAACAATTTTGAGCCAGGAGCCTATATTACTATGATCTGTTATAGATTTAAAGGTAGACTATAGTCGCCAGAACTACAGCCCTGGTGTCTGTCTGTCCCTTTAGGCATTTTAATGTAAACCCTGCCTTTTTAGTAGGTAAGTATATCTCGCCTCCGCTGCATCCCCAGAGCCACTGCACACCAAGAAGCATTGTCACTATCAGGGGTCTTTGCAAAATGTGAAAAGTAAGCAGAAAGTTACGGAGGCACTTGAATTGTGTGCTTTCATTCTTAGCAACAACAAAAAAACAACCTCTATATTGCATTTCTTTGCTATCAGCATAGGTGAGGTAATGTTAAAACTGTATAACAATTCTATTTGTGACAGCTCTCATGCTTGGCCATGGAGTAACATGAAACCAGTAATTGCCAAGCCTTGAAACTTAAATATAGCTGCCTTGCAGCTTCAATGTCAGTTGCACAGAAGAGACACCATGCAAATGTTAATGTTTTCGTGTAAAGTAGTCTGATTTCATCCAAATGCTAAATAAGAAGTTTGCTATTATACATTTTTATGAAAATTTTACTCTGGGCATAAACAGGGCAAGATGGCCAACTTTGGGTAAGTATTGGTAAATTACTTCTCCTGTGATACGTAGCCTCCTGTTACCTTGTAGAAATGTTTGTCAATATCTGGAATACTGAGATTAGCTATCACTGCATTCGAAGACCTAAAAATCACACAATTTTTATTTCTTTTTATTCACATTTTTTATAAGGACTTGCTATTATATTCAATTTCTTGCAAAGAGTTTAAAGCACCACTATAGTGCCAGGAAAACATACTCGTTTTCCTGGCACTATAGTGCCCTGAGGGTGCACCCACCCTCAGGGTCCCCCTCCCACTGGGCTCTAGTTGGAGGAAGGGGTTAAACTTACCTCTTTCTCCAGCACCGGGCGGGGGACTCTCCTCCTCCTCCTCGGCTGAATGCGCATGCTCTGAAACTGCTATGTTTATAGAAAAAAGGATTAAACCTATCTGGACCAGGCACCCAGACCACTTTATTAAGCTGAAGTGATCTGGGTGCCTATAGTGGTCCTTTAATATACAGACAATATATTGGCATCTGTACTAACAAAGATCCTATATTCTGGTAATACATTTTGCTAGACTATATCTTTGATATAAATGCTGTGTGCGGTTGCTGATTAATTTTGTTTATTCCAAATAAAAAGTCAGTGGCTTCATTTTATGTTTAATTTTATCGTGCAACAAATAAGTTGTTGATTGATAATTTGACTATTAAAGGGTTTAATAAAAAATATATATATATATATATCTATCATAAGAATAATGTTTTTTTTTTTCTTCTTCTTTAAAGTGTGCCTGTCAATTAAAGGAATACTATAGCCTTGGAAATGCAAATGTTTATTCCTAACATCCCCTCCCGTAAGGTTTAAAAGGTATTTTTATTTAACTTTTAACCTAATTACAAGTATTGATGGTCTCATGCAATCCAGTGTTTTACCACAGGAAAGCATTGGGAGGCTAGTGCCCATGCACTGCAAAATGCTGTGCTAATCAGATGTTCTGTATGAGACCATTTGATCGAAATAGCAGCATTTCAGAACCTGGTTGTACTCGGTCAATGCTGTGGAATCGCCTCTAGTGGTTGAATACTGACAGCCATTAGAGTTGGGCGTAACCTTATATTGTGCACATTGTAACTTATCAGAAATGACAATGTTTTACATTGCAGTGTCAAAATGAGAGGGACACTGCTCCCAGACACTTCATTGACAGGAAGTGTTCTTGGGGCTAATAGTGTCCCTTTAAATTAAAGGAACACTATAGTTACCCAGACCACTTCATCTCATCATGCAACTGAAATGGTACAACTGCAGAATGAAAAATCCAGAATTAAAATTCCGCAGATGCAAAGTATTGCAAATCTGCAACTATTCGTTTTAGAAAACTATAAAATAATTGCTGTATGGTGTGTGTGTGTGTATGTCTATATATAATATGTATGTATATATTTTTTTTAAAACCCATAAAGATTTGGGAAATATACAACATGCAGAGTTCAAGCGGGTGCTGCAATGCAGAGTTACAGCTTTGCATGTGTCATGTAAACAGATCTAAAATACTAGAGTCCTGTCTCTGTGCAGGTGTCTGCTGCAGATTCAGAAAGCTTACATCCACTGCATGAACTAGGAGTTTTTGCTTATCCAAAGTGGAATAAAAAGGTGGCTAGGATACTGGACATGTTACATAATATTTACATAACATTACATACATCGGGACAGCACTGCATCATAACCACTGCAGTAACTAAGGAGATTTTGGTATTTGAAAGTGCCTGTTAAAGCTCCAGAATATGGTTCATAATGTGATTACATCATACAATCTTCGTGAGATGGATATATAGCTAAGTGACTCAGATTGAAGCAGAAAATAAGTAATTGAACAATTATGGGAAAGAGAGAGGGGTATGGGAAATGGAAACTCCAGGGGATAGAGAATTATTTAGAGGACTTCAGCTATGTGGAACGCAAGGGAGGAATGGGAGGAAATTGTCACCAAAGCAGATAACTGTGTGACCACTGCCTTGTAGGAGAATTGTGGATGGATTGGAGGAAACACCCAGACCCAGAGGAATATGCGACTACTGTCATTTGGGAAATCTCACGGAGAGAAGGTGTGTGTGTGTGTGTGTGTGTGTGTGTGTGTGTCTGTCCGTCTGTCCGACCGTCCTATGCCATACAGGTGAGGCCTATGAAAAATCTGCCAGTCTGAAATGATGGAGGCAATAAAGAGATGATAGTTTTGAATGAGTGATGTTACATTGGCATCAAATAAGAGGTGTGCTGAGGAACTAACTAGCTGCCTTGACTGCACTGAGCGAAGGGCAGAACTACTGGCAAGAAGAGAAGGGGAGCAATTGGAAAGAAGACCGTTTGCTACATCTAATTTATCACCCACAACTTAATTTCTTTGGATATGTGTGTTTTTACCCTACTATAAACATTGGAATATCTGCTATCTTGAAACCCAGTAAAAATGATATTGATAAAATGAGAAGTGAAACTGAGTTTTGCTACTGTGTGCACAGTGAGCCAATCTTGAGTACTGGGACTTAAAAGCTCAGGAAGGGGTTTAGGAGGTCACTATTTCTTGTTCCTATTAACGTTGTAATCCTAATTTACAATCCATACCCTCTTCACTCAGTGTTTGGCCAGCTATTCGATTTATTGAGCATTATAGGTACTGTACTGGAACTGTCTACCATTGACTGAGAGCAGGCTCTTTTCTGTTTCCCTCACTGTTAGAATAGCACACATTACTAAATATACTTGAAACCTGCTCAGTAAATGACAGGCATTTCCATAGATGCTCATGGACTCCAAAGGCCACCTTTATAGAGCTTTCGGTGTATTGTTTTACTATTGCCGTCTACTGCCATTAGGAACCTCCACTTTTACTGTACTACATCAGTGTCCAAGCTTGGCTAACTTGATATTTATAAAACTGGTTCATAAAAATCAGGATTGCAAAGTTCATCCACCAGTGTTTGACAAAGTGTTTCATTTATTATACCTGGATTTCTTTTCAGCCAAACAGAGTCAAGTCATAGAAGATAGGGTCATGGCCTGGAAGCAATAAATTATTCATTGTTAGTTATCAAGCCTAGCTCCTGTTTACAGAACAATAAACATGAACCCTTCTCCCAGTAGAAATCTATTACCTTTTTTGTTTTTATGCAAATACTAAATTGGAGTTAATTTCACATTCTCACTTGGCTACACACTATCTTCTTCCTTCCTTTTCCAAACCCGTTAACTGGTTCACCTAAATGGATAACAGGTCCTAAAGCAGCATATATGTGTTTGTTTTTCAAAATGCCAGATGTTAATTTAAATGCAATTTATGCACAAGCTCAATATCTTACCTTTTCTACATAGTGCCCTGCTAGGAAGTCCATGATTGCTAGACTACTACTGAAACAGCCACCCTCAAGTCTCCATTTGGGGTTTGTAAGGACACTTAATAAAGCACGGCAATACTCCCTAATGATGCCAGCACTCTGGCTTCACTGTCCATGCTTTGGCATTGGCAAAGAGTGATATTAGCCATTCTGAATAATTATGGTGCTTGGAGTGATCCTCTCAATTAAAATCTTAGCATTTCCTCTCAATTAAAATATTAGCAAATCTTACATTTTCTGCTCTTTAAACTTATTATTATTAAATATGGGGTGTTATCCTGGAATATGGATTCCTCTGTTAATTCCTTCCCCCCCCCCTTGTATCATCTTTATGGAAGAGAGTGTGTGTGTGTGTGTGTGTGTGTGTGTGTGTGTGTGTGTGTGTGTGTGTGTATGTATGTATGTATATATATATATATATATATATATATATATATATATATATATATATATATGTATATATGTATATCCTAATACAATATACAAAGGAGTATTGCTTTCACATGAAAATGTTAATTGTCACACCGCTTTTACATCAGACGGGAACTGCTAATTGGTAATTAGCCTAATATGATACCTTTAAACCTTTTTTTTTTTTAAAAATACATTTATTAAAGCTCACACTGTGTAACAAACCGTCTGACCAACAGAACAAAAATGTAATTTACATTTAAAATATCTTCCTATTTATGAGTTCCCTGAACAACAAGATTTGATTTGTCATCATGGGGCTATCTGTATCCATGGTGCTCAAATTCACCTGTTTACTAAATGGTTTAATATAATATAACATTCAAGTGTTAACCCCTTAACACTGTTACGGTGTTCTATGCTGTCCCACATTAAAAGTGCTTTAAAGCAGTTGCGACGGCATAGATCCTCTTCTGGAGGGCTGCCTGGCAGCCCTCCCCCGGCAAATGAGGCCCCCGGGGGTTATGTGATCGCTGCGTTGAGGCCCAGTTGTGTGAACAAGGACCTGACGTAGGTCATGAAGGTTGTAGTGGTGAGTACTGCACCTTGTAGCTGTAGTAATGGTTGTGAGGGCAGTAAGTTATGATGCTGTATGTAGGCATCAAGAACCCTGACTGGACACCATCTGTTGTGCGTGGGATAGTACGGTATGTTTACGGGTATGTGCTGACTGGTTTTGGAGTGAGGTAAAGTCAGGATGTAATGATCCATATGTTTTGCCAAGTGGTGAATAGATGAGGAACGGAGTAGTTTGATTCGTGAAGGTTGTAGTGAATTCTCTAGATCTTAGAAATCCATAGAAAGCGATGTATATTGCTGTTTTGATGACAGAATTTGTATTGGTGTCAAACGGTTTTAAGTCAAGCAGGTTAGACAATGCTTTGAAGATATGGTTATCTATGGCTAGCCTCTGGGTTGTATGTGTGGGTTCTGAATACCTCTGAGTATGGTCTTAATTTGGTGTGAGGCCATGAAACTGTTGTTATTTGGGTGTATGATTAACATGTGGTGTTGAATGCCAGTGAGAGAGAGTTTGATGGTGTTATATGACATTTTCAGTTTAAGGTGGCAAAAGGAAGCAAAGCCCCAAAAAAGATGTCATAACAAATGGTTGCATGATGTTATGTTCCAAAAGGAATCGTTTGAATAGTGTGAAAGCCCTGTTGTATGTTTTGTGTGTATTGTTTGAAAGTGCCAGTTGGGACAATGTCCTGCTATGCTGCATGATGGTGTCTAGTCCAGTATGAGTTGTTGAAATGTTGGAGTGATGGTGGCTGTGGGCGCAGCTGACGGGAGTGCTTTATGAACTCCTGAAATTTAAAGCGAGACAAATTGTCAGCAGCTGTGTTACATACGCCTGGAACATGGAAACAACATAGGAAAAAATTATGACAAGCTGCCAACCAAGTGAGTTTCCTCAGAAATCTCATGATCGTCAGGGATTTGGAACAACCTTTGTTGATAATGTGATATGTTGCCTGGTTGTCTGAGTAACAACGCACTGGCATATTAGCCCATAGGAGACCCCATGCTACGGCAGCCGCCACGATGGGATAGATCTCAAAAAGAGCTGAGGTAGTGGAAAAACCTTCCAAATCCTGAACTACTGAAGGCCAGCTGCCCCAAAGCCATTCGTTCCCAAAAATTGCTGCAAAACCAGTGGTAGATGCTGCATCTGACCAAATGGTAGGAGATGAGTCAGTCAATTGAGGGAGGAACATACTTTTACCATTCCAAGTGGTTAAAAATCTCTTCCACATGTTTAGATCTGCCGTAGCTTGGGTATCTAAGGACAACCTGTGCGTGTCATGTAGGAAATGTGGGAAAAGATGCAATAGTCGTGATATAAAGGAGCGGCCTTGAGGTATGATGCACATAGCAAAATTTAGTGACCCCAGCAGGGACTGTAGCTCTTTGCGATTGCAAGTACCGAGCTGAAGGTAGCTGTTTATGTAAGTGAGAATATTCTCTATCTTATCGTGTGGTAGGCTCGCTTGCATTGTGGCGGAGTCTAATTGGATACCCAGAAAAGTGATAACCGTGTCTGGCCCCTCTGTTTTCTTTGGGGAGATAGGTACACCTAGTTGCTCAAATAGCTTAGTGGTAGCTTTGAAACTAGTAGGAGGTGAAGTATTCTCGATCAGTAGGAAATCGTCCAGGTAATGTTATACCGTAGGGCATCTGGCTATGTTCAATAGTAACCAGCATAATGCTTCGGCAAATGTGTCGAAAATAGCTGGGCTACTTTTGGACCCAAAAGTTAACCGGGAGAAAAAATAGTAGTTCCCTGACCACTTGATGCCATGCAGGTGCCACAGTGTGGGCTGGATTGGTAGTAATTTAAAGGCGTTTGTAATGTCGCTTACTGAGCCAGGCTCCAACCCCTGCTTGTATGATAGCAGTAATGGCGTGGTCTATGGTGGTGTATTGCAGAGAGAATTCCTCAGAGGGTATGAGGGAATTAAGACTGGGGTTGGCCGATGAGTGGGGTGCCGATAAGTCAATGATGAGTCTCTGTTTTTGGGAAGATTTCACTGTGACAATACCAATGGGGTTTGTGTGCCATTCTATGAATGGAGGAGTTTTGAAAGGCCCCAATACGAAACCCTCATCTACTTCTTGGGCTATGAGGGTGTCAACCACTGTGGGGTTGTGTTGGGCGGATTGTAGATTAGGGCATTCCAGAGTTCCGGCTGGTATGTGTAGGATACCAGTATGGAAGCCTTCTGTTAAACTAGAGATTAGAGTCTACTAGGTGTCTAGATGGGTGCTGAGACATAAATGCCGTGAATACTGGCATATTAATGGACCTTAGATAAGGCTTGGAATACATTTTATTTGGACACATGGTCTTTGCATGTGCCCTAAAACATTTTAAACAGACATGCAATAGTCTACATCCACTGTAATTACAAGACCCAACATTAAAATTATTACATATCTGGGACTTGCCCAGAAACTTGATTGGGTGTCCCAGTTTGTCTCTAGACAACTTCTCTGGAACCCCAGAGGAACTAGCTCCTTGCGTGGAGGCATGTTCGTCCGCCGTGTTGGGACAAATATTTGTAGTGTGGGCTGTGGAGGAGCAGTATGCACAAGCTGGTGTTCTTAGACCTGCAAAGTGTCTGCAAAAAATGACAGCATCAATCCTTCCCCAGTTGGATCGTGTTCCGTACTGGGAGAAGGCTACAGACACTTTTGCAGAAAAAGACCTATGGTAGTCATCGAAGGCCGAACCACCATATTTGTTGCCCAGGTCTACCAGCTTGTGCATATAGAGATCAAACTCCTCTCTTCTGTTGGGATAGACTGCACAGATGACATCCCTGTAAATACCAAAAGCTAGTACAAATTCAGGGATAGTCAGTTTCCTGTTCAGGCGGGCATCCCTAGATCTGACAACAACAGATACATCATCATAAGCATACGTCTTATTCTCAACGATATCCTGGGAGGCAATCAACAGGGAAGCCAGGTTTACGTCTTTACCTTCCAGGTTATCCCTTTTAATGTGCTCAGGTATCATATGAGCCGGGCTAACTTCCTGGTCATCCAGGGTGATGGCTGGAGCAACTAATGGCAAGTCGGCTGGTGCTTGTGAAGCAGCATCGGGTGGCCCTGCTAGAGTAAGGGCCGTAGTGACCGACTCAAGTTTCTCCAGCCTGGAGTTGACCTTGCTCATGGACGCCATGATTGAGGATAACATGGCATGTATGTCTCCTGGGTTGGACTGGCTAGGTCCTTCCCCGGCATCCATGTTATTTGTCGATGTGCGTAGCAGTTTGAAAAGTTCTGATTTCCTAGCTGTAGCGGGGTAGGGGATTTGTCGTCTCCTCAATTCCGAGGTTATGCGCGGGATCGTCCAGGATCTGATTGATGCTGGACCAGCTAGCTCTCCTCCTTGTGTGGGAGTGACAGCTCTAGCCGGGGTGCTAGGCAGGGAGAAATCCTCTACCCCTCCTGAGACATACTATAAATAAGACAATTAATTAGTATATGAAACTACCAAATTGTACTGGCAGGCTAGCTAGGCCGGATGGCGAAACATTATACTTGTTTGGTGACAGATGAGGCCCTGCTAATTGCCAAGCAGCTTGAGAGGCTCTATCTATGCGTTGGCGCGAAGGGTTATTGAGGCAACTCGACGTAGTGGCAGGAGTTTTAGGCCTCTCGGTGACTGTAAGACAGAAAACAGGGGAAGGGAGTGACAGGTGAGGCTCTCTCTATGCAACATGCGAGGCGGCTAGCTAACGTGTGGCCCGATGAGTGTTTGCCTCTGAAACGTTTGAGGCGGGGTGTTGGCCTCGCGGGACCACTAACTGATTGCAACTGCCAAGACAGGGTAAATACCTATTGGGAAGCCTGTGACCCTATTGCCAGTACTCTAACCTAGGGGGACGAAATGAAATGTATGGTAGAATACCATATGAGCAGGTGTACGTACCTGGTAGTATGACAAATTCACAGGAATAAACTGTGTGGAGCAAATATATATAAGCTTGACAGCCTGAAATGGGTAAAAGAGAGTAGTATGATGAGTGTGGATTGTTGGAAAGAAAACAGCCTTATAGCCTGTAGCAGCAATGTTTGAAAATGTTGATACCATGGGAATAGATATGAGTTACAAAGAAATGTTGTCATGCTTAAATAAGACATCTGAGGGAGGCCGTGGCCTATGTACAAACAACATATGTGTTATATGATAATGGTGTGTAAGGGAAACATAAAATGTAGGTAATATATATATGTATATTACTGTGCAGGAAATGTATGATTGGTTGGATCAGTACGTGTGATTCAACCCGAGTATGCATGAAAAGGAATTAAAGCCTTATGTGTCATGTTCATAACGAAGAAATGAGGCCTGTAACGTAGGCTGAGTTAATTGAATTGAAATGGATAATTATGAAAACTCCTGTAAGCGTGGGAGTTCAATGATCCATACAGAAATGTAGCTGGTTTAATAGAAAAGAACATGAATAAGGGTCATGGCCTATTTTACACAGTGTTATGTGTGATATGTAGTAGAATAACAAAAGGGGCAGGGATACACAAAATGCTTAAAGTGATGCAAAGTGATGTGTGTATATATATATATACGACATATGTGTCGTGTATATATATGATATATCAGTATTGAAAAAGACATATGATTGGTTGGATCAGTACGTGATTCAACCCGAGAATTTATTGCTTGTAAATGAAACTGTATCCTTTTTTATGTGTCGTAGTAATAACACAGAAATGAGGCCTGTAATGTAGGCTGAGTCCATTTGGATAAATAGATAAGTAATGCAGACCCCTGAAAGCGTGGGAGTCAAAATGATCTATACAGATAAGTGAGCTTGGTTGTATGGACATAATACAATACTGAAACATTTAAAGGGTAATAGAAATAATCTGTCTATTTAAACAAGCAATTCGTTAACCGAATATACATGAAATGGTGAATATAATCCACGAAAGGATTAAGCGTAATACATAGAAATACAACCGAAACCCAATGTGAGGGAAAACAGAAGTTGGAACGAATAGTTTAAACGTATGAACTTATGCGAACTGCAAGCGTGTTTGAAACGTGTATTGAAAATTGCCGAACGGCAAAACAACTGAATTGATCCGTTTCAATGTAACATGGAATAGTTATATGCGAAATGACTATCTGTACGAATATACTGTTCAGCCGAATGACCGTATGAATGAAAACCCGCGAACGGCTTGTACCAATCGTGACATAACAGGGAAAAAAACGTAAAGCGAGGACCCGTGCTGTACTGTACACCGTGGGAACCGGTCCTGGCGTGACAGGTAGGTCTGACTTACGTTTTAGGAGTCCCTGGGACGCGATCTACGACGAAGACCGGGGTCAGAAGAAGCTAGATGGCGGTAAAGGCCTGAACAGGATTCTTGGACACAGCTATCGCGGTAAAACCTCGTGGATACTTGAAACCAAGATGGCGTCTGAGAGAACCCGGAAGTGGATCCTTATTCAACGCTGACCTCGAACGGTAAGGAGCCAGGTAAGGGGAGTGCCTTAAGTAGGCTAGGGGTAGCAAACCAGCACCTCCCACAAATCCAGGCAAATTGCCTTAATATATGTATATATGTAACATCATACAAAGTGTATTTTAATATTAATAGAAGTACATATATTAGTATCAAAATACACTTAGAATGACGTTACATATTTATATAATGTGTGTGTGTGTGTGTGTGTGTATATGTATATATATATATATATATATATATATATATATATATATATATATATATATATATATATATATATATATATATATATATATATAGATAGATAGATAGATAGATACACATATAATATATATATATATATATATATATATATATACAATAATAAATAAAATATTGAAACTAAATTTTATATAAATTTATATATTCATATGTAATTTCATTCTAACTATTTTATTATATATATATATGTAACAAAATACACTTAGAATGACATTCTTTATATATCTATATATAAAATACAAATAACCGCATATATATATATAATTACATAAAAGATTACATTAGTATACATGTAGAATTTAAATACCTATAAATGCATATATATTAAAATTCTACGTGTATATTTAAGTTATCTTTTAACATAATTATGTGATTTGATTAATTAAAATTTGATTGACATGCCTGACAACACAGGGAGAAATTTAATTTGCAAGCACTATATTTGACCCTGTAACTCTCCAAGACACCATAAAACCTGTACATAGAGGGTACTGTTTTACTCGGGAGACTTCGCTGAACTCAAATATTAGTGTTTCAAACTGGTAAATTGTATTACAACGATGATATTTGAAGTAAAAGTGAAGTTTTTTTGCATTTTATACAAACAAACGGCACAAAACAAAAAAAGCAAAAAACTAATATTTGGCCAGTGTTTATGACTAAGTGGCTACTAAAAAAGACTAAACGTACCCCACTTTCAATACCTTGGGTTGTCTACTTTTTCAAATGGTATGCCATTATGGGGGTAATTCTCATTCCTGGGCTACCACACCGTCTCAAAGGTAACATTACTAATCTGGCAAATTTCAATGTGAAAATGGAATGTTCTATATTTGACCCTGTAACTTTCCAAAACACCATAAAACCTGTTAATGGGGGGTACTGTTGTACTCGTGAGACATCGCTGATTACAAATATGTGCATTTTTTGCAGTAAAACTTAACAGTATTATGAAATTTACAGCTAAAATGTCAGACGGAAATACACATTTTTTTATTTTTTTTATTTTTTTAAATCTTATTTTCTAACTTTTTTAAAATTTTATTCATAATAAATTATGTTCCACATATGAATAGTTAATGATAAATTAAAGCCCTGTTTCTCCTGAACAAAATGATATATAATAAGTGTGGGTGCACTTAAAGGACCACTCTAGGCACCCAGACCACTTCAGCTTAATGAAGTGGTCTGGGTGCCTGGTCCAGCTAGGGTTAACCCATTTTTTCATAAACATAGCAGTTTCAGAGAAACTGCTATGTTTATGAATGGGTTAAGCCTTCCCTATTCCCTCTAGTGGCTGTCTCATTGACAGCCACTAGAGGCGCTGCGTTTCTCACTGTGATTTTCACAGTGAGAGCACGCATCTATAGGAGCATTGTAAATACTTTCCTATGAATCTGAATGCGCGCTCTTGCCGCGCGCCATTCAGTGAAGGGGCGTAACGGAGGAGGAGAGGAGGCAGAGAGCTCCCCGCCCAGCGCTGGAAAAAGGTAAGTTTTAACCCCTTTCCCCTTTCCAGAGCCGGGCGGGGGCACCCTCAGGGCACTATAGTGCCAGGAAAACGAGTATGTTTTCCTGGCACTATAGTGGTCCTTTAATGTGACAGCGGTGAATTACGGTTGAACGGACATATAGCGCAAATTCCAGTTTTTGTTTACGTTTTGTTTTGATCAGAACGTACACTATTGACTCCGTCCTGAAGGGGTTAATTAGGGACTCTGTTGTGGATGCTGTTTCTATTTGAACCTAGTGGTTGATGAATAGTCTTTTAAGATGCATCATGTGCCCCCACATTGTTTTGATCATATAGTTGGGATTGTTTCCACATGGAGTTTTCTCTCAATGACTGTGACTTCCTGAACCTGTATTCCTGATCCTATAGTGTTAAAACAACCATCTAGCCAACCCAGGCAATGCTTTACCTCTCTAAATATAGTAAAATCTTACTTGTATTTAAGTCTGCAGCTGCTGCCCCTGACCTGCCTGCTTGCCTGACATCAGAAGTGATTCTCTGAACCAATCACAATGCTTTCCAATAGGATTGGCTGAGATCGGCAAGGAGGCAGATCAGGGGCAGAGCCAGGACATGTCAAACACAGCCCTGGCCCATCAGCATCTCTTCATAGAGATGGATTGAATCAATGCATCTCTATGAGGAAGGTTAAGTGTCTCCATGCAGAGGGTGGAGGCACTCAATGGCAGTGCTGCACACTGTGCAGCTCAGCCCTAGGATGCACCTATTACTTTAGCCATTTGAAGAGCTGCTAGTGGAGTTATCCCTAGGCTGTAATGTAAACACTGCATTTTCTCTGAAAAGACCGTGTTTACTGCAAAAAGCCTGAAGAGAATGTTTCTACTCACCAGAACAAATATATAGCTGTAGTTGTCCTGGTGACTATATTGTTGCTTTAATTGTAGGGATGCGAGTGTTAAGTTAATATCAAATTGACTGAAATGTAATTTAGAAAAAGAACAATGTATCTTATTTATACAGACTGATTTCTAAACACATTTATTGTGTTTTAAAGGACCATTATAGTCACCCAGACCACTTCAGCTCAATGACGTGGTCTGGGTGCCAGGTCCCTCAGGTTTTAACCCTTCACATGTAAACATAACAGTTTCAGAGAAACTGCTATGTTTACATTTGGGGTTTATCCAGCCTCTAGTGGCTGTTTTCCGGACAGCCGCTAGAGGCACATCTGTGATGCTGGAGGCGAATTTCCCCTCCATCGCGCAGAGCGTCCATCGGAAAGCATTGAGAAATGCTTTCCTATGGACACTTTGACTGCGCGCGCGGCACTTGCCGCGTATGCGCATTCGGCTCCAGTGACGTCGGACGGGGAGCTGACCCCTTCAGCGCCATGGGCGGGGGACCCTGAAGGTGGGCGCACCCTCAGGGCACCATAGTGTCAGGAAAACTGCTTTGTTTTCCTGACACTATAGTGACCCTTTAAATCCAAGATACTGTAAGTATTATTAGGGACTGACTTAGTATTGACCCAGCAGATCCTCTCTCCAACTCTCGTGAGCCTGGTATACCGGTCAGGGTCTTGCAAGAGTTGGAGAGAGGATCGCCAGGAAACAAAAGTTAGCGTGTGCTGGGTCCCAGCCGCACGGTCTACAATGTTAGTGCCACCCAGGGTGGACAGCTGAAGTGGTTCAATTGACAATACATATAATGCATTAAGGAAGAGAAGGCAGGACTCCACTTCTATTTACAGGATATACCTCCAGTGAAAACTTTTATGTTTTTTTTGTCATTCGTGGTATTTCTAATCACAGCTTGCAGAAGCTGCAGTTATTTGGGCATAAGAAACACCTGCCTTGCAGTTTAGGGTGTTAAGTCAGATAATAGCAAATGTATTAAAGGACCACTATAGGCACCCAGACCACTTCAGCTTAATGAAGTGGTCTGGGTGCCAGGTCCAGCTAGGTTTAACCCTTTTTTCTATAAACAAAATAGGGTTAATCCAGCCTTTAGCGGCTGTCTCATTGACAGCCGCTAGAGGCGCTTCCGTGCTTCTGACTGTGAATGCTTTCCTATGGACTGGCTGAATGCGCGTGCGGCTCCTGCCGCGCATGCGCATTCAGCCAAGGAGGAGCAGAGTCCCCCACCCGGCGCTGGAGAAAGAGGTAAGTTTTAACCCCTTCCACCCCCTAGAGATCGGCGGGAGGGGGAGCCTGAGGATGGGGGCACCCTCAGGGCACTATAGTGCCAGGAAAACAAGTATGTTTTTCTGGCACTATAGTGGTCCTTTAAGTAGTTGGTCTTTTCAACAAACATACAGCCTGTTTAACACACCCCCCCTCAGTAAACGGGAGGGAATTAATGAAAGATGAAAGAGCTGCTTTTAAACCTTATGAAAAAAATATCCTTTCATTGTAGAAGAAATGAGAGCAACCTGTTTTTACCAGCAGTCAGAGGGCATATCTGTATTAGCCGATAATCATGCTACTTAGACTTAGAGCAACATTCTGTTAATTACTTGTTTGTTTCAGTGCTAGAGGCTTGAGTAACCTATAACTTTGTAATATATTCAGTCTTCTGCATCAGAAGAGTTAAAGGCTTTCTATCTGTTGCCACAGTTTATATGGTCTTTTAGTATTGTATGGTACATGTAAGGCACTGGAGATTAGGAGACCTTGCAATTCCTGAAAGTATATAGAATTTGCCAAATCACTCTGAGTCGGGTAATGAGCTTGTGTGGGATTCAGATGGGTGTGGTACAGTAGCATTTTCTTAGCTAAAGCATCTTGTGTTTACTTGTTGACTGCTAATTTACTTTTAAGAAATTCTGTATATTGTGTCTACAGATAAACTACAGCATCCATTTAAGGGACACTGTTTGTGTAGAGATTACACCCTTCATTCTAGTTAAAACAATTCAGACCAGCAATGCTCTGATAGGCTGAAAGCAGTCAGCTGTTTATCTTTGCCAGTCTCCGCCACCCATTGCTGCACAGGTGAATGCAACCTCATTAGTGTCTTCCATATAGTTATGTAATATTTTTACATAATTAAGTCATTTTATTAATTAAAATTTCCAAGACACCATAAAACATGTACATGGGGGGTACTGTTTTACTTGGGAGACTTCGCTTAACACAAATATTAGTGTTTCAAAACAGTAAAATGTATTACAACAATGATATCCTCAGTGAAAGTGATGTTTTTTGCGTTTTTCACACACAAACAAATATTAACACTAACTTTGGCCAGTGTTTCTGACTAAGTGAATACTAAAAAAGACTGGACATACCCCATTTGCAATACCTTGGGTTGTCTACTTTTGCAAATGGTATGCCATCATGGGGGTAATTCTCATTCCTGGTCTACCATACGATCTCAAAGGCAACGTAACCAATATGGCGAATTTCAATGTGAAAAAACAGAAAAATATAACATGCTATATTTCACCTTGTAACTTCCCAAAACATTATAAAACCTGTACATAGGGGGTACTGTTTTACATGTGAGACATCGCCGAATACAAATGTGTGTTTTATTGCAGTAAAAGCAAACCGTATTATAATATTCACAGTTAAAATGTCATGCAGATCTTAAAATTTTTTTCTTTTTATATTTTATTCATATTAAATTATGTTTCATAGCTAAATATCTGATGTTAAATGAAAGCCCTATTTCTCCTGAATAACATGATATATAAGTGTGGGTGTAGGTGACTTACAGCTGAACAAGACCTATAGGGCAAATTCCATGTTTTGTTTGTTTTATTTTGATCAAACCGTGTACATTTGGTCAGTCCTTAAGGGGTGAAAAACTGTCACAGTATTATTATTATTGTTATTGGCATTTATATAGCGCCAACAAATTCCATAGTGCTTTACAATATTATCCAGTTGTTTGTTGGCCCTTAACTTTAGCAACTTTAGCTTGAGTAGAGTTGAACGATTTAGAGCAGATGCTTTCTAGTGATGGGCAGCTTTAAGACGTGTTTTTTGTGGACTGTGTTTCCAAAAGAAAAGAAAACAAATGTAATATGAGGATTACGCAAAGCCTGTCAGCAGCTCAGTAGAGTAAACAAAGGCGTGGAAGTGAAAGTGATGCTCTGGAAAATGTCTTAGAGCTCCCCCTTGCTGACGAAAGAGCTACTTGGTTACAGTCTGGTATTTTAAATGATTGTGAAGAGACTGTCAGAGGCACAAAACTGCTCTTATTACTTATGCTGCACTGACTTCATCGTCGAACTGTTCAATTACAATGTTTTTTTTGTCATTGTTTTTTTGAAGCTGAGAGTTAGTACAGGATAAATATAAGAGTCATAACATACATATTGACTTGTATATTGACTCTGCTGGAGCAAAAACAATGACAATATAAAGAGCTAATTATGATACATGTTAAGGTGAACATAAAAAAATGATCTGGAGGACTGTAAAAAAAGTTACAGTCTAGAGACAGGATGTGCAAATTTTAAACTGTACGCAGTTGTAAGACTAAAACTCCCATGATTATTTAAGTGGTTAAAGTAGTGCTGCAACAGTGGAGTGGCTACCATTTTCCCATCTCTGAAATAGAGTAATGAGTAAATGATCACCATAACAATAGACTATTGAGATTCTTGCTGTAAAGTAATATTATTGAAGTGTTTACAGGGTGGGACAATCTGCAGAGGGAAGTAGAAACATATTTTCGTGGCCCATGTGTCTGAGGTGCACTGTGAGTGAGTTTAGGTCGTTTTTTTTGTGGTTCCGGCTTGTGTGCTAGATGCACAGAATATTTTGATGCTTGTAAATAAGTTGCAATGCATAGATTGAAATTTATTATAAAGCATCACCAAAGGATCAGTTTGAAAAACACAAGACTCAGTGCTGTTCAGTAGGGGAAACTGTTTGTTGCACTATTGTTATCCTGTATTAGGAATTTACATGTTTTAATGATAGTTTTGCATTTTGTCATATTTCATTACATAAATTATTTTACTTAGCTGAGTTTGTCTTATGTTTTGTGTTTATATTGTGTGTGTGTGTGTGTGTGTGTGTGTGTACATATATATGTAATTTATTTTAAAAGGCAGATTAATTTAAACACTGTACTACACGAACAGTGACTTCTTCTGTGTCCCATTCAGCATTTGGACCTTGCAGAGTCCTTTGTCAAGATCTCATCTTGAGAAATGACCCTGTGAAGACTGAAATGTTGATGCTACATGTAACATGGGTGATGGAATAAAGTCCTATAACATATAGCAAAAAAGATCCATAATTGCCCCTATGTATTCTGTTTTGGCATATATTTTGCTAATTCGGATTGCACCTGGGCAATCACAATTAGCAAGAGGGATAGGTAATGTGTTTAAAGGGTTAAAGCAAGGCATAAATGTTGGTTTGAAACTATCCTTTTCAAAGTCGCAATTGTGCAAGAAATGTCATTTAAACTTGGAGCTGTTGAATATCATAAATTCTTATGTGGTTTAGAAGGACAAAAACAGACGAGAACACCAGTGTTTTCCTTCACCCACCTTCTTTTGTCTCTCTCTCTGGCTCTGGATCCTCCCAGCCTGTGAGAGACGGCTGCTCACTATTGGCCACTTGTGTTCCAGGAGGAGTTAGTGAGATTGTTTGTCTTGCAGTGTGTGACATCACTCTATTTGTCTCATTGTTGGAAGCTTTAAAGCTCAGTTGGGGATATGCAGTCGCAGGAGGCATGCAGTGGATTGTGTGCTTTAGCAAACATTAAATAGAAACATTTTCTCATACATTTTTGAACTGCTTCTCCTTGCACTTTTTTTCTAAAACGAAGGGATCTTGTTACATTTCTTTTTCACAGAAGCCTTAAACGGGTAAGCTGCAAAGGACACTGTGCTTTCTCTAATGTGCAGTAACGATGAGCCCAGCATTCGGAGCCATGGAAGTGGAGCACTACGCAAAGGGAGTTCTGCTCGAACCTTTTTTACACCAGGTCGGAGGGCACTCCTGTGTCCTTAGGTTTAATGACAAAACCATCTGTAAGCCCCTTATTCAAAGGGAGCATCTGTTTTATGAAACACTCCCTTCCGAGATAAGGAAATTTACACCTCAGTATAAAGGTACGTGTGTATTATTTTGCAATTGAGTGCTTTTTATTTTTATATTTGCTAATTATTCTGGTATTACCTGTTCTTCCTAAAACTCTTCCCTATAGAAGTGGTTTTGGATTTCTTGTTTTTCATGTATTTCGATGTTGTCAGGGACAGGCTGTGAGGCGTGTTTTGGAGATGCTGACTAAAAAGCATTAGAGTTTAGAAAAAAATTGCTTTCGGCACTAAGTCGCCCGTAGGCACATGTAGGTAAGTGCACCAACTTCAGCCCAGCTTTTTAAAACATTAATGGTCTTAATAGCCTTTTGTAACTTTTTCCCTTCTACTTTTCTCTCATACCTTTTTGCATTTCTGTCCAGAGAGTTGGTTTAAACACCAACAGATTTCAGTTTTCATTTTCTTGTCTATTTGTCTTGAATATTAAAAATACAAAAACCTGTATGATTATTGAAAAGGATTGATCACAGTAGTGTGATGCCCTTAATCTTGAATCTATCCTATATTTTCCTAGTTGTCTTTTATTTCTAAGGAAATGAAACTACAAGCATGTTTAAGTTGGGCTGAAAGTGAATCATCTCAAGTGTGCTAGGGGAATCCCAGAATTGGTAGTTGATTCTTTTTTTTTTTTAAATGACTTTGTGTAATACAATCTAACAGTGATATTCATTGATTAAGAATCTTTTCAAGATATTGTTCTGTCTTCTAATAGTCTCAGAAAATATCATTCTAATCTCTGACATGTTTCTATATTTACAAGTGTTTGTTTTATTTTAAGAAAAGGGTAGAATGTTTACATATGTCTGATTTGTTTTGGGTTTTTTAAGGTTTGCATATTGCAAATTTTTGGTAAGGATTTGCAAATTGTTACAATGAATATATTAAATAATTTAAAACCTGCTTTTGTGATCTTTTGAATCTAAACATTAGTTGTGTTGTTATTATTTATGCTGCTTATTTTATTTTTAATGTTGGGATGGTGGGTGGCCAGGGAGCTTTGGTATATGTACATTGATCTCACACTGGGGTAAAACGATGAGGCTGTTTGCTGGCTGACTTGTCCCCATTATTCTTGTAGCCCTCCCTACTTTTTCTGTGCTTTAAAGCAGGTAATGTCAGAGCTTTTCCGCACTCCCTTACCAGCTACTGTAAGTCACAGGTCCGTGTTCAGCTCAGAAGGGCAATTTTCTACCAGAGGGATGTGAGCTTCAAGAAATCCTAGAAAAGAGGGAGATTAAGGACTTTAAAGACAATGTTACGGCAGAGACCGATAACATCTGAAACCTTTTCAGATATCTCAAAGACTGAAAAGAAAAAAACAAACCAAAAACAGTTTATCAAAGACTGATACGTACAGAAGAGGTGCATTTTTTAAGGCTATTTACATAGTATTGTAAGAACATGACGTTTGGCTTTGTTTTATGTGTTTTAACTCTCACTTTGCAACTTTATTGCAAATAAAACAAGTATTTTACCCTAGTAGTATAAAATTAACAAAACCTTCATGATTTTCAGGAGTTGCTTTTTAGGCAATGTTTGTTATTTGATGTGTGTCCCCTGCTCCATCTTTCCTCCTTTTTTTTCTCTCTCCTCCTCCCTCTCCATGTTTTTGTTTTGTATTTATTTTAGTTTTTGCTATGCACCTTTCAAACAGATCCCTTGAAACATTCACAGTTTTGTGATAAACTTTAAATGCTTTTTTTTTTTTTTTTTTTGCTTTGCAATGCTTTACAATTGAAACCCTTTACTGGTGTTTCACTGCAAGATGTAAATAAGAAATGTTTTACATCTTTTATTTCTTAAGTACAATCAATAAAGATATTTATTTGGTTTCAATAAATATTTTAAAGAATTGAAATTGTCTCCTGTTATTATTTTGTCAATGTTGTGTTGTATTTCAAAAAACAAAAATATATATTTTTTTAAAAAGCACGTTTTAAATAAAGTGTCCCTAAACCTTTTTGTGCTAATACGCTGTGTTCCTGTGTCAGGTGTTTCTGTGTTTAGTTGTTTTGGCATTGTTAGGTTGGCAGATCATATTTGACCTGTGGCAGAATTTGTACTAAGGATTGGGTAAGAAAGAAAACAAACACACACTGTTCTGATGTAACCCTGTGTTACACTTAATCTAACACACCACTTTTTTATTTTTAAATGCCTCTATTCTCTACCCTCCCCAGGTGTGGTGTCCGTGAGTTTCGAGGAGGACGAAGATGGGAATCTGTGTCTAATCGCCTATCCCTTAAATGGGGACCAAGACAACCTGGAAAATTTAGATTATTCGGAATGCAGTGAGCCTAAAGGTAAACTGCTACGGTGGTCGAATAAAAAGGCTCTTATGTTGGAAAATGATAACATTACCAAGGAGAGAGTCCGGCAGCACAGAAAGGAAGAGAAAATGAAAAGGTGAGCTTCTTTGATCATAAAAAGTTAGCCTGTTAGTGTTTTCTGCAAGACCATTTCATATAATCCTTCTCCAGTGTGAACTTCTAGCAAAGCTATCGATTGTGCATCATGTTTACCCCCAGCTCCACACCCTTTCATCAAGATAGTTGTTATGGCATATTTTTAGAAGGTATTGCTTTGTTTTAGAAGATGTGCCTTGTTGCTGAAAAAAACAATATACAGTGTTCATGATTAATGTCAGTTTTAATAACCCACATTTGTAACTATGCCATTCCACATTATGAGGTTTATACATTAAACTCCAAATTGTAGCAAATTTAAAAATAAAACAAATTACAAGATTATGGCTAAAATAAATACAGCGGAATTGGAGAATTTCTCCAAAACCGGGGTTTATGCTTAATTGTGCCATTCACATTTCAGCCAGTTAAAGTTTGGACTTAGTGGCTAAACCTCAGCATTTTGCCATTTTTACAGCATAAATGTTTGGCCGTGCCAAACAATATCAAAAAGCATATAAAGTAAAAAGAAAAAAATGCATATAGATCATGTGAGAGAATACATCGCAGTAAATATTAAATTTTCAGTGTAGTGGTAAAATATCCAAATAATGCTTCTGTAATAGAAACATTGATGTCAATGGGAACTCCATAAAATGCACAAACACTGCATATAGTAAAAACTCTTTCCACACAATACCAGAGCCATAAAATATCCCTTCACCCATACATAGTGGGTGGAATAATTATGCTATGTCTGCATCCACCTGTATGTAAATAAAATTCTGGTTTGAAGGCTTTCAAAACCACTCAGTTTCCCTCTTGACATTAATTCTGAATTCCTGCACTTTTAGAGTAAATGGTTGTTAATTGATATGCTTAAATAATATTAATATATACATACAATGTGGAGTATCTTTCTATTGAAGTTGAAATAGTTCCTGGACCAATATATTCTAGGAATAAAATATAAACAGTCAAAAAATAGTGCAATATAGCCAATGTAAATAGTAAAGTGCTATGGTAAATGAAAAGACACTCACAAACGCAGAGCCATGGAAATCGGCTCAGATTTCCAGCTTTGTGGGATGTAGAGGTACCCACTCCCTTCTTTATGCTGATTGAGGATCACAAGCAAATTGATGTCCTCACAAAGGTAAGTATAGGTGTAAAGTGCTTTTTTGTAAAGTGCACATTGTAATTAAAATGTAAAAAATAGAATGAAATAAAATCAAGACCGTACAATTTTGAAGGCAAGTCCTTGGTATAAAGTCCTTTTAAGTGCAAGACGCGTTTCACCTCAGAGGCTTCCTCAGTTGCTGGCAGCAGTTTGCGTTACAACTGGTTACTAGGGCTCTATTTTAAATGCATTTCCCCAAACACACTTCCTCGAACAGCAGAAGTGTTGCTAATCGTGGCATTTTGGGTGCAGAATAGCAGCAATTTTGTGGATCAAAATATATTAAAAAGTGTGAACTGAAACGAGACTGCGTGAAAAGTAGAAACTGGCAAGCAGGGGATTGTTGAAAGTGTTTGTGTGTGTGTGTTTGTGTGTGTGTGTGTGTGTATATATTGATATATTTAAAACAAAATTTTAGTTATTTAAAAATGCACACGTGTATGTGTGTATTTAAATAATTGATAAAATTAAAATTTACTTCCATCTACTGGCATTTCTTGCATTTTTGTAAAATCTCAGGCTTTGCAGGTTCTGCATTGAGCTTTTGATGAACTCTCTCAGCCAACTTAACCCATGAGCTAAACAAATTTTGTTTTGTCTTTTGGTACATTTGAATTGAAAGAATATTACAATTGATATTAATACACGTGTCTTGTGGTAGTTAATTCTTTTTAATGCTCAGCAAGGTAGTTTAAAAAATGGTAAACAATGTGTCTGTTGTAGTCATCCCATTTTCTGTTTATTTTCAGTCACAAATTGGAGGAGGAGTTTGAATGGTTAAAGAAATCTGAAGTCCTATATTACAGTGTGGAAAAAAAAGGGAATGTTGGTTCACAATTCAAGCACAACCCTTGGAGTATGAAATGTCACCAGCAGCAGCTGCAGCGTATGAAGGAAAATGCCAAACACCGAAACCAATATAGTATCCTTTCATTAAAACATTGAAGTACAGACATGTTGTTTAGCACAATGTAACAATTCAATTTCTCTGCATACTGTTGGACTCCAGCTCACATTGTGCTGAGTTAGCAAATCCGCCTATTCACTAAACCGCAAGCTGTGACTTGAGAACCAACTTGCTATACTTTAACTCTGCTGAATTTGTTATTTTTCCAGTTCAGCTATTTCGGCTTAAATTTTGTCTGTTCTCAAGTCAGCAGAGTTTGCAGTTTGTGTTTTATTTATTTTATTCTTCCCCTACATCACACCTACCCATCCCTAAAAAAATACACAGTGCACACCCTGCCATACATTTCCTAAGGGTGAACATAGTTTCTCACACAGTTGGGTATAATACTTATTATAAAGACTATGTCGGAGTGTGAAATATTATCCTTACATATTCAGTCTATTTACATCTCCGTGTTGCATGTACCTGGCACTTTCTCTATGTGTATTTGTATCTAGAAATATGCAGTGACCTTTCTTTGAGTGTCACACCCCTGTGGTCTTACTACAGCTTTGCATGTGCGTGCTTGTCACATGTCCTAGTCTAACACAAGATCAGTGCAATCTTTACAACATGAGGCAATTCTTAATGTCCCTTCATTAACACGTATCACCTGGATGCCCGATCCTTTTACCTATAGTCTTCTACATGACGTAGTTGCTGGCTGGTCACATATTTGTATTAATGTACTACTCTGATGTAATGTGAACTTTAAATATCACAGCTTTTTTTATTAAACTGTGCATTCAACTTGTTAAACTGCTAATTATATGTAGAACTCTATTGAGGCTTAAATTTGGTGTAGTGCTGTTTGTGTACCTGCAGCTTTCTGATGTTAATGCATCAAACAGGATAAAAATTAATTGTAATATTTGAGTAAGCTATTAATTACTGCCATCTTCCAAAACACATACAAATATAGGGTCTATTTACTAAATACAGAATGATGGACAGTGGACATACGCATTGCAAATGTTAGGCAAGGAAACTTGCAATTCTCATGTCAGTTTTTCATATTCCCGTTAAGTTAATATATTGTTTGTCATCTGTGGCATCATAAGTTAAACATTTTGCACATGCTAATTTCTAGACTGAATGTCTGCAGTTTTTCCTTGTTTTATTGGTCAAATGCTTTCCCTATATAATATGATCCTGGACATTTTACTGTTAATGGTGGGCAAGCTAATCTGTGTGATGATGAGGTTTCTCCGGTTTATTGACCCTTTACACTTCATGTTCTACATGTACCAAGCAGAGTTCCCTTCCTATAGCAAAGGTGACACAAATGTGTTTTTAATCTGCTTATCATATCTTAAGAAGTCTGATGATGAGACATGTACTGATAGTGAAAGCCGATTAATTTTAAATTCCCTGAGTCATTTCCAATGTTCATCTTGTTCATTTGAAAAAAAAGTGGATGTAGATAAACTCCTGCCTGAAACTTATCTCCGTAAAACCACTTTGTGAAATATGAAAAGGTTATTTGCCAGGCTTTGTATGTCTAACATTCTTTTCTGACAAAAAAAATTGAAAATGGACATTCCAATTATTTAAAACTGATATTTAAAATGTATTAACAGTTTCCACTCAATAATGTAATACATCAAATGCTTATGCACATCACATACATTTTAGAACTACCACACTATAGCAGAATAAAACACTGACGAGAACTTCATTAGCAAGTATTTAACGCACATGCACCCAGCTTAAAACATTTTAGGTTGTGCAGACAGGATGATTTCACATGTTGCGTGGGAGAACACATCCTGTGTGTTTTGAAAGTGGTCACATTCTGATAGTACTCAACAAGAAATCCATCCAAACTGAAATAGAATTTTGGGTGGGGAAATAAATAAATTGGATTCCTTAACCAATCAGAATTCATACTTTTGGAAAACCTCACCTGCCGATACCAAGCACCGTGTGTCCTGGATCTGAAGATGGGAACTCGGCAGCATGGAGATGATGCAACAGAGGAGAAAAAAGCTAACCAGATACGCAAGTGTCAGCAGAGCACATCAGCAGTTATTGGGGTCCGGGTGTGTGGTATGCAGGTGAGTTTCTGATACCAGAAAAGCAAGTGTCTTGTTGCCAGAGATTCTGTTAGAGAGGTATTACTTTCTGTGTATAGTGCAGATATCACCCTCATTAGCCAGCATAATACATAATTAAAGGACCAAAATTTTACATTTTCATATGTCTTTTAAGAAGTGTTCGTTAATATAGCAACATTTAAAAAGACACAGCAATTTTTTTGCTTATTTCTGTGTGTTTGGCAGGGCTTCCTCCAGCGGGGGAAGGGGGATGCTTAATGTTAGAAGTAAAAGTAGAGATATTGAGCACAGCATTATGATTGATACTAGAATATCAGATTTTCTGTTTAACTTTGGCCCATAGCACTTATTGTCTTTGGCCAGGATTACTCTTTAATGTCTAGAGATTGACTGAGAAAAGTGAGTTGAACTTCATGCCAAAGGCTAGTTTATTGCTAAAGATTAATTAAAATAGTCTGTTGAGCAGGGTCCTCTTCAACCTATTGTTCCTGTAAGTTTTCTTGTAATTGTCCTATTTATTGTTACATCCCCCCTCTCAAAATATTGTAAAGCGCTACGGAATCTGTTGGCGCTATATAAATGGCAATAATAATAATAATAATAATAAAATGTGGGATATGAACACCATTGAAATAAGGACACCCAACCTGGATTGTCTAAAATTCTTATTGTAAAATGGGCCAGTCTTCAGTTAATTGATTTATTGTTTATCATCAACCGATGAGGGTTTTTGTTTTTGTTTTTTTTGTTTTTTGTTTTAAATCTGGCAACATAAAAACTTTGGTCCTAGCGCTGCTAATTTATAGTAGACTGTTTCATAATAAATTAAGCTCCCATGTTCGGCTGTATAGAGGACATTTATTGGCTGACCATTTATTCTAAGAGCTGTAGTTGGTTATTGCCTTTATAGAGATGTAGATTTTGCTATGGTGACCTTTCCTTAAAGGAATACAAATGTATTCCTGACACTGCAGTGTTAAACTAACCATTTAGGTCCCCTGACCCACTCTAGATTGCAGTAAAAAAGTGTTTAAACTCACTTTTTTGCCTTGCCGATCTCTCCACAGCTGTCTCCACCTCTATGGCTGAAATCCTCAATCTTGATAATCTCTTCCATTCCAATGCTTACTCATAGAAAAGCATTGGCAGACTATTGAGCGTGCGCAGCAAAGTGATGCGCTGCGCCAACCAACATCTCTTCATAGACATGCATTGAATCAATGCAAATTTGTATTTATAATGATGTAGTGTTCCTTTAATGCACTATTGATGCCCCAAAACTGTCCCCTCATCTGTATTTACATCCGATAAGCTGATTCTTTCTGCATCCCTCTTTCTGTGTCACCACTCAGTTAACAAAGAAATAAACGCTATAGGCAACCAGACCACTTCATCTCAATCATCAATGAAAGTGTCTGGATGCAGTGGCCCAGTAATTTAACCCTGCAATAATAAACACTGCAGTTTTATATAAACTGATGTTTTACTGTAAATGTACAGTGCAAAGATAGCTGAACCAGGAATTTCCAATTTAGATGTTTTATAATTCCTTGTTTGGTTATTTGAGACGTAATTAGTTTTTCTCTTTGTTGAATTTTAGGTCTACCAGACAGGTACCGGGCAGCTTATGTTTATGAACAAATACCATGGCAGGAAACTTTCAGTTCAGGGTTTTAAAGAAGCACTTTACCAGTTCTTTCATAATGGCAAATATTTGCGCCGGGAACTATTTGAACCTGTAATAAAAAAACTGACAGACCTTAAACTGGTTTTAGAAAAACAAGAATCCTACCGATTCTATTCCAGTTCACTTCTTATTATTTATGATGGGAAAGAATTACCGGAGGTTCACATGGACTCGGACCCAGAAGATTTAGATGATCTATCAGAGGAATCATCCGATGAATCAGCTGGAGCATACGCATATAAACCCTCACCTAATAAGACCACCGCTAGCACTGTTGACATTAGAATGATTGACTTTGCACATACAACCTGCAAATTTTACGGGGAAGATAGCATTGTACATGAAGGCCTGGACACTGGCTACATTTTTGGACTTCAAAATTTAATAGCAATTATTAAAGAAATAAGAGATGAAAGCAGCGAATAAAGGGTATAATGATTGCATCACATGAAGCACTATACAGACTGTTTATATTCCAGTATGATGACCACTTTGTGGGCATAAAAATCATTACAGGATCCGAGAAGGCCTAGCCCCATCGGAGAGACTTGTTCTAAAAGAGGGCATTTTCTTGCAGCTGTGCTGGAAGGAGCACTGATTAATAATGTTATTTATTTGAAATATTTCTAAAACATTCCATATTTGATGATTCAAATACCTCTGTTACACCTGTGTGTTTGTGTTCCAATAAAATTCCTTATTTTTTTCATTTTATTTTATTTTTGTTCTAGTGGTGCGACCTAGCATCCGTGGAAACTGAATAAGCTAATTTCCACATAATACTGTCTTTTGCTAAAAGGTTCTTTTTTTCCCCCCTTCAAACAACAATGTTTTTGCACATTGTCAAGGATATAAAAACTAAATAATAGTAAAAAGTACAGAAAAATTAGCATTCATATGTTACGTTCTACCGGACAGCTGTTTTATGTTGGATTGTAAATCTGTTTTAATTCAGTATAAATTTCCTTTTTCTTTATTGGGCAAAGTCCCCGGTTACAAGAGCAGTTGAACATTATAATAATGGATGATATATGATTTCATGAAAATGTGCCTTCTATCAGCTAGAAATCATAAAAGCTAAATGCTAGTTGGATTATCCATTAAAACAAATAGTGGTTTAAACTGGTTGTTCAATTCTTACGAACTGTGGCTCATCTGATTTGCACATTTTGTTTCTCTTAAGATATCATTGCAAACCAAATACATCTATTTTGTGATACAATGCGATATGGGAAAATTGAAAAAATAAGCAAAAACCTAATTTGTTACACTATTTAAGGGATATCTTAGTAAACGTCTGACTCGGCTAGAGTACAAAAATGTGAATACAGGCAGTCCTCGACTCATTTGTGCTCCTATTGTAGCCCAATTATTGAGTTAGATCATGGAAGATTCAGACTTCCATCATTCCGTCTTCTTCCTAATTCGTTCTGTGAACGATGTAATAACGTCATTGATCCTTAAATATTCATATTTATTTGATAAAGTGAGAATTGCAGAAATTTTACATATAAATCACAAGTTGTACTTCAGCTTGACTATATTTGTCTAAAATTAATTGTCGATTATATGTACTCTGCTTAGGATAATTTTCTAAAATAATCTGTTGGATATCAGCCACTTCTTCAAAAACTTTTCTTAAGTCAACCCAGTTTGAGGACTGCCTGCATGCATGCATGCTTTTCAGGAGGAACAGTTTTCAATTATTTTTTTTTGGGTTGGTTTACTCTGACTAATCTGTTCAAGGGTTTGATGCTGTATTTCAGGTCTTTTGCTGCAGATGGCCAGTTAACCCCTTAATGACCATTAATGGAATATTTCCATCATAAAAATGTAGGGGTGTATTCACTAATAAGCGAGCTGACAGGGTTGGGAGGGGGAGAATGTTAACTAGTTATTCATCTTTAAAGATCCTATGTCAAAATGGAATGTCCTCATTTAGGGACACCAATATTACATAGAGCTGCCGATACTAAATAAAGCAGGTTTTCCATGCTGACATCTTGTTTTGGAGGGCCAAATTGTGATGACAGCATGAAATGTCATAGATCCTTAAGGAGTTAACGAAGGCCCTCTCTCACTCTTTTGTAGAAAAGGCTGTGTTTATACAAATGCCAGATATATTCTAGATGTTTATATTGCACACCTGGGCTTCGTAATAGATGTTTAGCAGCAATATCCAGGAGTGCATTTCTCACCATCGAAATAACTGGAATTGCCGTAACTATTTAAATCACAAATGCCATAAATGTACACCCTTAAGTTCGCAATCGATTTCTGCAACCCATCCTTGCATCCGGTTTATGAACAGTGGATAACTTTTGTGTTTAATACAGTAGTAAATAAAAACTCTTCAATTAAATATAATGGTTTGCTAAATGCTGTATTTTTTATTTTTTTTCTCCTTTTTTTTTTATTTTGTGCTGTAAAAATGAGTGACGAAAATTCTAATATCGACTTTGTGTAGCTTTATTCAGAACTGGCCAAATCGCCAAGAGCCAGGTAGCCATGGCAAGTAATATTTTACTACTGGCACATAACTTATTGGTCTATTTTATACTGATCTTTTTGCTCCTCTGACGCTTAAATGTTATACAAATGGGTACAAGATTTGCCTTATGGGATTAAAATTACTCACCTTTATCAATTTTTATAAGCTGCCTGTGGAAATAAATCAGAATTGGCCATGTCAGTACTGATTTAATTTTAAAACTTTGCTCTAAACATAGCGATAGTATAGCGATTCTGTGATAATTTAGTGTTTGTTTTGCTCAAATACATAGAAATGCTCATGCTAGGTTGATTTAGCTTTAATTTGTCATTATCCATATTATTGCTGCTCTTTAATGTGAAGAGGGCCAAGTTCCATGCAGGCCTGTAATCTAAGAAGTGGTTGGAAGTGATATATGCAGTAGGCCTTAAAAAGTAATCTGCTTGTTGCATGTGGGGAGGGACTGATCCATCATAGAGGGGATAAAACTAGTTGTGCCTTGGGAAGTAGAAGAAATCTGACCAGTGTCCCCTCCTTTGAAATGTGTCTAGCAGATTTATTGGAGGATGGATATTTTGGTAAGGTTCTCTGCATAGGTAGGTTTGAAGCTAAATAGGTGATTATAAAATTAGATTTTGTAGGTGTGTACTGGGGGAATTACCCAATAAACTGCTACCTGTAGTTAGTAGCACACATTATTGAATTTATATTTCATCTGACTGATCAACCCTTCTTTATGTCTGAGGAATTGGGAGGATAGAACCGTGTCTGCATAGTAATGCACTCTGCACTTAAGCAATGTTCCTGCAACCTCACATACCTGAGGATTAGCTAGTTATATTTGAAACCAAGCATTGGTTACCGTCTGAAATGTATGTCAAACTGGACTCTCTAGCACTGAAAATAGGAGATTCTGTTTTCAATAGCAACATATTTGCAAAAGTACCTCACTAAAGTGCTGTGTGCACAATTTATATTATTTTAACCCTTTAAAGGAGCACTATAAGGTCAGGAACACAAACATGCATTCCTGACCCTACAGGGTTAAAACCAGCATCTAGCCACCATGGTCCCTTCATGCCTCCCGAAATATAGTAAAATCTTACTTGTATTCAAGTCTGCAGCTGCATGCTTTGTCCCTGTTTCCTTTTGACCTGCCTGCTGACATCAGCAGAAGTGGTAGCCTGATCCAATCACAATGCTTCCCCATAGGATTGGCTGAGACTGACAAAGAGCAAGATCAGGGGCAGAGCCAACACAATTCAAACTCAGCCGTGGTCAATCAGTATCTGCTCATAGAGATTAATTGAATCCATGAATCTCTATGAGGAAAGTTCAGTGTCTGCATGCAGAGGGAGGAGATACTGAGTGTTTGGATGCATTTTAAGCAGCCATGACCCAGGAAGAATCTCTAGCAGCCATCTGAGGAGTGGCCAGTGCAGTTATCACTAGGCTATAATGTAAACACTGCATTTTCTCTGAAAAGACCGTGTTTACAGCAAAAAGCATGAAGGGAATGATTCTACTCACCAGAACAAATTCAATAAGCTGTAGTTGTTCTGGTGACTATAGTGTCCCTTTAAAACTTTTAGTTACATCATAAATATCTGGATTTACCTTATGGTCACACGATGCCTGGGTACGCCGTTCTTATTTTCTCTAAATCATTAGTGCTCTGGTATATGTCATTGTACCTAATCAATGGTAATCTCACGGAGTGAGTACAAAATAGCCTGAAAAAGGGATAGTATCTAGATAAAGTCTCCTTGTGGCTCTTGCACTGTTGCAGCAACCCTAAAGTAGTCTTAACAAATAATAAGTAAAATATAACTTTTAATTAAATTCATTAAAATTCTATAGGTGAAAAAAGGAATACTAAAAAATGCAGAGGGGAACGAAAAAGGAGGGGTTTGATAGGGGACTATGCTTTAGCCACGATATTAACTTTCCCCGGCATTACCACCCTGCTTCGTGATTTTATTCTATATAGATAGGAAGCCGCTCTGCTAGTTCGGCTATTATTCTCACTGCTTAGGGGAAGGAGTTTTTGCAGCCACAGTGGCACAGGGTGATGGGAGTTGGGGGCTACATTATTGGTAAATTGACATTTATTCCCCCTAGTCTCTCTATACTTGTATTCATGAGCTATAGGTGTTACCACCCGATAAGGGGAACACCGGTTAGCAATCATTTTCTCCTTTTTCGTTCCCCTCTGCGTTTTTTAGTATTCCTTTTTTCACCTATAGAATTTTAATGAATTTAATTAAGTTATATTTTACTTATTATTTGTTAAGACTACTTTAGGGTTGCTGCAACAGTGCAAAAGCCACAAAGAGACTTTATCTAGATACTCTCCATTTTTCAGGCTATTTTGTACTTTTTTCTTTTCTTTAATATTAGGACCTCATCCCACTTTTTCTTCAAGAGCCCAAAATGGTTATAAAGGAATGTTTTCTGCAAACACAAATTACTCTGAGTTTGTAATCACATATTTGGGGGTAATTTGGCAATATTCATGTCAATTTTACAACATATTTCAGGATATTCTTGAACAGTGTAATAAATGCATTGAAGCTGGTATACAGTTCCACAGAATGTGTTGGCACTAATGTAATGGGATCCCTTCTTAAAAGAGGTTATAGTCTGCTCAAAAGTAAAGTATGCCTGGAATGACTACCATATGAGCAATTGAAAGTGTTGAACATCTGGCAGAACCTCAGGGTGGTTACTAAAAGTGAATCCAGCATGTTATGTTAAACCCTTCCCATAGTAAATAACAAGCACCCATCCCAGTGTCCCGTGCTGTCTGGTTAAATTGTCAACCAAGGGTACATGATGTCCAAGATATGCTCCAATGTGTATCGGAGCATTTTAAGAACACTTCATTTAACAAGGAAAGTGTTTCAGGTTTCACGGTACCATGGCAGACATCCAATGATATATGTTTTGACTGATTTGAAGATGTAACATCGCCAGCAGTAGCTGAACACTGTAAAATCCATTCACAATAACCCCTTTCACAACAAAAATATATTATAGAAAGCAATTGTTTGTCCATTCCAACTTTTAATAAATTACAGCTACAGTAAATGTGGGAATTGAGTTACTAACAGGGAGAGACTTACTGAAGTGAGAATTCAGAGTGAATTTCAAATTTAACTAGAATAAAGACATTTTCCACTTTGACTTTAAAGGGCACGTGTCATAGTACTTTACAAACTGTATTTCCTCTCATTCAATGTGCTAGCAAAATCACTAGCCAATGTATAGATTTTGTGCAATTTCATAATAAAAATCATGGTTAATGCCCAGAGATGTAATTACATTGCTGAATCTATTGATAAAGTAAGTATGCTCAAAACACGAAGAAGGCACGTAAAAGGTAGGTGAGAAAAACTTAGATTTGGTCACGACACAGAACCAGAAACAGGAATACACAATAATTTAAAAAAATCATTAACAGGTTCACTTTAAATTTGAAATTCACTTTGAATTCTCACATTAGTGAATAACCTTGTTAAATTGGACTAGTAGATTACGAAAATAACATGGATATTATGGAAACTAAACAATACTGGGATGTCTGCAGTAGGTTGCTTCTTCACTACTAAATCAAGGCTTCTTAATCTGCTCCAATTCCTTATTTAAAACTTTTTCATGCAATATTGCACAACTGTGGTATTAATATAACTTTGTTTTACACAAGATTTGTAATTTATTATTGCTATTTTGAGCACATATACCTCTTCACTTTAACTTTTTTAAAAGACCATATGTATTTTTAGTTTTACCCAGTCATTTTAAACACGATGTGCAGCTGTCCTGGCAAGTAAAGGGCTACCTTGCCTCATATAAGAAATCTATTCCTGCTATCTTCTATTGACGTATATAAAAAGGGATGAGGGGAGGTGAGAATGTTTGGACAGCCAAATATGTTGCCCTTGGTATCCATCGTTAATCTTGGCACAATCTTGATGGCAATACTTCAAAACGTAGTAATCAAGATATATTGGGTGGTGGTGAAAGGGTTCTACCATGTGTAGAATATAAAATAACTTTTCCATCAATTGTCATGATGATCTTTTCTATCGTTGCTTTGGCCAGTCTCTGGAGGAAGTGTCTGGCGTGTCAGCAGGTGACTTGTGAAAGAGTCATTAAATTCATTAGGAAACACATGGGGTGGGCAGCAGCACTGTAGCTTTTTCTGTGTAATACAAAAGCAAATACAAACCTACAATATTCAGCCCTGTCTGAGATTTTGGCTTTTAACTGAAAACAGCAAGGTGAATTGTTAGCGTAGGACTCACTACAGACAAGAGCTAAATATATTGTACTTTTTTTTTCCCCCCCACGTCGCCTCATTGGCTGAAATCATCAATTTTGATGATCTCAGCCAATACAATGCTTACCCATAAGAAAGCATTGGGATGCTACTGGCATACACAGCACAAAATATTGTGCTTAACCAATTAGCATCTCTTTATAGATGCTAATTGAATCAATACTTCTCTATGAGGAGCGTTCAGCATCTCTAGAGCATGGAGATGCTGAACATAATAGGAAGCACCTCAAGTGGCCGTCTAAGTGACTGCACCTATAGGTGTTATTAGGCAGCAATGTAAACGCTGCCTTTTACCTGAAAAGGGAGCATTTCTATTGCTGAGCCTGCAGGGACATGTTATAGACACCAGAACCACTAGATTAAGCTGTAGTGGTTCTACTGACTATAGTGTCCCTTTAACAGTCTTTTTGAAACCGTGTCCAGCCGTCAAAGGACACAAGCCAGGACTCTACGTGCTTGTATTTTTATAGCTTGTTGGTATCCTCTGGACCTGTGCCAGGGACACACCATATAATGAGAGAATCTTTTTCTTGCTGGGAGTAGGAATGCTCAAGCTGTATGACATATTGGAAATAGGAGATTTATATGATACCTGGAGCTTAATTAAAAACAAAATGTAGATAATTTATCTGTAGACGACTTTGTGTAAACTAGAAACCAGATGAAGTATTTTAGCTTTCAACCTGATCTTTTTAATGGCTTGACAAGATGCACACAAATAGATTTCTTTATAAAATACTAAAACAAGACACAAGCCAGGATGCACATTTATAGGGACTTTTCTTTTGCAAGTTGTTTATTGATCATCATTAAAGAACTTTTAATAGAGTTTTAGGGGTTAGCAGGTTCCATCAACCTACGAAAAGTAAGTCGCAGTTATAACATATATAAATATAGAGTTTTGCATTTCAAAATCACTTAAAGGCTTGGTAAAAAAAAATGAGGAAGAATCACAAACCGGCATATGATTTTTGTACCTTTTGGTGGTCCTTACTCATAGGTTTTACATTGCTTTCTTTATTTAGAGCCAAACAGGGGCCTTTGGAAATGGACTTTCAAGCACTGGTACTCTTGAGTATTTTATTGAGACAACCAAGACAATAAAATGTATTTAATTCTGGCATCTTTCTGTTTTTCTAAAAAGATTTTTGGAGTACCCTTCTGCATTACCTGTACACCAGTTTCCTTCTCTTGGTCATGTGCCAGAGTGCAAAGTTCTTGCTTGGAATGCCATGAGCAAGCACCCCCTCCAACCCTACAGAAACAGGTCTACTTTAAACAGCCCGTGTAATACATCAAATATGCCTAACTGGTTTAACGTATAGGAAGTATAATGAGCAAATGGTGTAAGACAACCCACCACGGTATGTCATTGATATATACGTACATTACTTGCCACACTTGCCTTTCGGCTTTGCCACGCAAATATACAATTAGCTGCTCACACAATTTGATGTGCATGATTTAGGTGACTGAGTCTATGGGATTTTTTTTCTTTATTAATAATTATATCCATATTATATGTGCTTATACTAGTTTCCACAGTTTGCAAATTTTTTTCTTGTCTTCTTATTTTGATCTTCAGATTATATAGCTGTTTTGTGTTTTGCTTTTTCCCAGCAACCCGATGTAATACACTATGGTTTAACCCCTTATGGACACGACATGTGTGACATGTCATGATTCCCTTTTATTCCAGAAGTTTGGTCCTTTAGGCTTAGAGGGCACCTGCAATGAAGATGCTGTGAACAGTAACTCTTATCATTCTCAGCCAGTCAAAGCCTCAGAATGAACCCAAAACTTAGAGGTAAAAAACATTATCAACAAATTATAATTAGATTATTTATATCATTGTATAACACAGTTTCACCTTCAGTATATATATTTTTTTTTGCAGTGCATGTTAAGATAACAAACCGGCATGGGGTACCCCAAAGGCAATCCGCATGCACATTTCAAGACCATGGTTACACAGAATTAAGAGCATTGGGGTATGTTTGTACAGTGCACTAATTTTATATTTGGGTATATGCTTGAGTCATACTAGTTAAGCATTTTGTACGTTAGGGTTCCGTTAGCGTTAATTTTACTAGTCTGGCGTTAATAACTCGCGTTTTGTTATATTCGGTGTTCACAGTTATACTAAGCTTAATAGCAATCGACAGTCACATTATCCTAATCACTAGAACATTTAACATTGAAAGGCAGCAAAATGGCAACACAATGATATCATGCAGTGGTAAGTTACAAGCAGGGTAGGTTACAGACTGCTAATGGTGGGCCTGCTGTTACGAGGTCGTGAGGCCCTCGGCATGTACTTCTGAAGCTGATGCCCTCTTTATGGAAGCGGTATGTGCTCGTCACTGGGTCTTTGCTTTCTGCTGCTGTGCGGGTGTCAAGGTGCGGGTCCCTCCAGCCCCGAGACGGTATGCAGGCCTGCATCCTTAGGCCACAAACTCGGCTACCACTAGGGCCCGGGTTTTCTCCACTCGTGGGAGTGATGGTGGGGCTAGGTTCGGTCTGTCGCTTACTTTGCTTGTGCCTCCATCTATGTGGTCGATGCCTCTGGGCTCTCTGCACCGTGGCCTGCAGCCCGGGTGGGCTACGTAGTGTGTGAGAATGTAGGTGGTGTTGTGCCCGAGGGCGCCTCCCGCTTTCTGCGGCTCCGCTGGACAGTCGGCGGTAGTGTGTGTGTTGCATGGTAAGGGCTGCTTGTTGCCGCTGTGCGAGGAGATCCCAGATATGGCTCAGTATCGCCTTTTTGCTTTATATGGGCTCACTCCATTGCAGTTGCGTCGGTCGCATGGTCAGCCTGCATGTCTCATTGCCGGCCGCCATTTTAGGTGCGCCTTGTATGGGGTTGCAGCCTCGCTTGTCTAGGTCAGGTTGGTATTGCTGTCTTAGTTGGTTCTTGCGACTGTTGAGTGCAGGTCGGGATAACCCCCACCGGCCCCGGGGGGGGGAAGAGGAAGGCAGGTGCGCTGAGGGTCGTGTGTGCGGTGTTACCATCCAGAAGAGCGGCCGTCTCTTCTTGGCTCGGCCGCACGTAGGCCCCTTGTGTTTTGCGTTAGTACCCGGGTAGAGTTTGTCTTGCTTGTGGGTTCTATCGATGCCCCCCGGTTTCCCCAGCTTGTCTCGTGCCCTCTGACTTTTGGGTGAGTTTGCTTTCGGGGTATTTTTCCCCTTTTTTTGTCACTTCTAGCCGGAGCTGATCCATAACACGTCTATCCCGCTCGTCAGTCAGGCTCTGCCCCCCCCCCACCTTCAGTATATTAACTCTGAAATTAAGGAAAACTATCTATCTAAGCATGTAAGAATGCTATAAATCTCAATTGTTCTGATTTATGTCTCTATTTAAAATCAATATTGCTGGTGATGGAAGGTTTACAGCTTTGCTTACGCAGTGGGTGTAAAATATTTTATAGTTACCGTCACCTGTGTGGGATTCACAATAGAGGAAGTTAGTGAAAGCTGTGCTCGCATGCGATACTTCCTCTTACTCGGTACAATAGATTTCCTGTAATAGTGACCTCTCCTCTGTAAATAAATGCATATAGATTGTCATTCTCTCTATTTTAGTCTCAGAGTAACAGTGAACTGTGTTTTATGGGAAAATAATACTGCCACAGGGATCTAGAAACATTATAACAGATAATAAAACTGAAGCTCGAGCAATTCCTAAATGTAAAACATTGTTTAATTTCTCCTCATCTCTGCATGCTGACTACCAGTTGCAGAGAACATTGTTTTTAATAAAATGATTGACAGGGTGCTAAGATGGAGGCACCCAGTTGAATAATTAAGAGTTGTGTATTTCTACATTTATTTTATTTTTGACACCTCACTGATATATTGAATATTTGTTAACTATGAAGATAAGTAAACACAATATGACAGCTCCCCTGTAAAGATATGAATTCTGTATGGTGGCTTAAACAGTCTTAGTCTCCTGTTTACAACACTGTGCTTTGTGGCGTATCTCCCTCCATAGCCACACGCTATACAGAGCCAATACTTGGTTTTATAGCATGAGCTAATTTTCACATCTAGCACTCAGCACTACAGAGCAGGGGTGCCCAAAAAGTAGATCCCCAGATGGTGTAGAACTAAAACTCCCATGATGCTCTGCATGCCTTTAGAATTACAAAGCATTGTGGAAGCTGTAGTTTGTTTGTTTTTTTTTTGTTTTTAAAAGGGGGATCGACCTTTTGAGCACCCTGCGCTATAGAACATTTCACAAAATGTATTTTCTCTTTTATGCTTTCATCATTCTGGATAAGAGGAAAAAAGTACCATAAATGCTTCATTGAATTACATTTCTATTTTATATTTGTCCTGCTAGTCTTTAGTTTTGAATAATATTTGTTAGCGTTTGAAACAGTAACATTTAAAGAATTTTTTTTGTTTTATTTATTTTTTATTACATAGTATATTTATTTATTAGTATCACTTGTAGAGTTAATGTAATCTGCGTAATAACATCTATCTCTTCGGAGTTTCCCATGATATACTTATCTTTCATCGTGTGATAGGGAAATCCCTTGTCCAGCAGATGCTGATGTCCTTTGAGCAAAGATTACACACTTGCCTCTTTATGGGCCTTAGAAATCTTCATGTGCTTGGGCTATAAGTGGCAATGGGAAGGTCAGGCGCAGAGCTTAAAGTGTATTGAAACTTCCCATGGCGAAAGAAAACAGAGGATCAGTGTGACTCCAGGAGAATGTCTGTAATTCCCTGGCACTGATACATTGTATTACACAACGGAAATGTACAAACACTCCCTCTACACAACAAGCCCCCAGCCAATCCTGCACCTTAATCCTTCCAGAACTGCAGATGCAGAGGAAACCACTGCAAACCCGACAAATGAATTTACTTTTAGCAAGCATTCAAATTACATTAGATTTAACATGTTCTACTAATTTATTATTTTAAACATACTATTGGCTGTAAACCGTTTTTATATGAGTTTAAAAAAAATATTTTTAAGAATAAGCTGTCAAGCTATGAATGCAGAGTGAGGAACGAGATCAGGAAATGTTTTTTTTCCCACGATTAAGTATTATATGTTTTGTGTATATAGTGAAGGCGAAGAGAAGCAGATGTATAATGCATGCTGTCATATGACCCAACACACCAAACCCACAGACCTTGAGTCTTAGTATTTCTCTAACAAAAATACTGTATATAGGGAAAAACAGGATAACTCTGTATTATCAGATTTTAGAGTGGCCGGATTTAACCAAGTGTCCTATAGAAAGGCACGGTCTAGAAGTGGAGAGGTCAAATACATTAGCTATAATAGCTAAATATTTTGTTTAATATAGTTGTTATGGTTACTATGATACACTTTTTGGCACATTAGTAAACTAGGTGCACATACTAAAGCTTACCTATATCAGCATTTCCCAACTGGTGTTCCGCAGAACCGTAGGGTTCAGCAAGAACAAAATTGGGGTTATGTGGCGATGTGCCCATCGGGTGGTCCAGGCATTTAGGGCCAGGGTATCGCAAAACAGGTGCCACTGCCGTCTAAGTTGTATGGGGTGCTGGGAGGAAGTGATAGCTTGTCACTTCCTCCCAGACAGAGCACGCCACGCCAGCTGGAGGAGGAGAGAGAGCAGCTGGAAGAAAAAAGGTTCGTGAACAGGAGGGTGACTGCAAATATAAATGTGTGTGCCTCTATGTCAATGTGTGTGTATGTAAGTGTGTGTCTGTGTATGTGAGAGTGTATGTGTCAGTGTGTGTGTAGTTGCCAGTGTGTGTGTAACTGTATGTTTGTCAGTGTGTCTGTGTGTATCATTGTGCCAGTGTGTGTATCTGTGTGTGTGTATATGTGCTAGTGTGTTTATCCTTAAGTCAAGGTGTGCATATCTGTATGTCTGTGTGCCAGGGTGTGTATCTGTCATTGTGTATCTGTGTGTGTGTGTATGTGCCAACGTGTTTATCCGTGTGTCAAGGTGTGCGTGTCTGTATGTCTGTGTGTCAGTGTGTGTATCTGTGTTTGTATCTGTCAGTGTGTGCCTGTGTGTCAAGGTGTATGTATCTGTGTTTGTATATGCCAGTGTATATCAAGGTGTGTGTGTATGTGTCGGTGTGTTTCTGTTCGTTAATGTGTAAGTATGGATGTGGCAGTACATGTATTTTTTTGTTTGTTTTTTAACGAGAGAGTAGAAAAGAAAGTGGAAATCAACATGTGAAGTACTGAAGGGTAGAGGGGCAAACATTTATATTTGAGAATAGATATATGTCTTTGCTGTGCAACACTATCAATAAAGTAATGCAATACGTTTGGCCTAATATGGCGGTATTTCCTTTTTTTATCCCTATTCCCAGCAGTTGATGCTCACATTATACCTCTGTAAAAAAATGCAGCTGGGAAGCATTAAAGCCATGTATGGGATACAAAGAATCTCTCACATGCTAGATATCAAAGGTCTAAATTCCACGCCTCCCACAGGGGTGTGCCACGCATAACTGTCTCTTTGGCTGTTTGTGATGTCACAGATATGTACTTGACCCTCTCTTGATAAGGAGAGACCAGAGCAGAACTGCTGAAACAAGGGATTTTCCTGTCTTAAAATGTTATTGACAGATGACAAAAGGGGAAAGTGCTTATTACTGAGATATGGTAAGAACTCTGCACTGATCAGTGTGCGCTGTGGTTAATTGAAGACAAACAAAGATACTGTCCATGTTTCCGTTCTCTAAAGCATGTGGACTTCATTCCTTAAACCTGGATGTGTGGAGATATGATCAGCGAATTGCAAATTTTATGCTTGATCCCCCAAAAATTGGGGTGGGGTGTAACTTCATTGTTAGTTTTCCACAATACTCAATTTTTTTGAGTAAATCTTGGAGAATACTCCTGTAACGGAGCTCCTTGTACTCCGACTGAGTACCCTCCATTGATGGATGCTCCTAGCGCTTCCTGAGGACTCCCAAGCACTGCAGCAGACACCACAACCACCGCAGACTCCGCAACCGCCGTATCTTGACTGGAGTCTCGCCGTCTTCCTTCCACCCTGGATCAGCTTCTGTCCTCCATGACTGCGTGGGAAAGAACTCTCCCTTCCACCCTGTATGAACCTCCAGCATCCAGGACTGTGTGGTGAAGACCCCTCCTCCAAGGAGAGCGTGTCAGGAACAAGCTCTTAAAAGAGCTAAGTGACTCAAGCTCAGGGGAGCATGCAGAGCATAGCAATCCCCAGTGTGATTATAACAGCTCCCTCCAATAACGAGACAAGGCTACGTTTAGAGGGATCAAGAAGAACTGTCAAAACCTTTATTTCCCTTGGGACCAGCCAATAGGGTCACCACAATAACATTGTTGTGAAACCTCAATAAAATCACAAACAGTCAAACCATATCAAGCAACACACAGTGACTTATCACAACACAATGGCACATTTTTAAAGGGGTGGGGGAGACAATATTTAACAGTAAATATCTCACCTGCCTGCAGAATTAGCAATATGCAAATCTACCCGAATATGCAAATAAACCAGTCTTGCAATTCAGGTAGTGCATATTGCTGTTGCTACCAACAGAGGGCACTAGACAAGCTCCATAGCCAAACCCACCTAGTTGGTAGCAAACCTCAGCAGTACAGGAGAGAAGGCAATACATTTCACAGTACACACACACATTATAAACAATTACATTACACACACCCTGCACCTATAATGGGTACTGGGTGACTAAAACATAAGATAAATAAAGCAGCCTACATAAATAGTCTGTCTGAAGGTCGAATAGGGGCTTTAAAGCCAAATACATCAAAGAGTCATAGT